AGAGCGTGCGATTCATGAAATACCACGGTTATTGCGGACAGCCTAATTTTATAGGATCTAGCGCAGCAGCACCTACGCACAACGGGTGTGTCACGAAGAGTAGTCCGTTACATCGCAACATCCAAGCGATACATTTATTGCGCCACCGTTGGTGTGCGTTTAGAACATCACAGGATGAATCACAGGTAAATGCGAGCGCTTTTATTTTGTACTAGCTGCGCTATTTGAATTTATAAAACGGTAAAAACTGTTCTTTCCATTCAATGATACTTTCTTCCTTTCATATGTCGTATTATGTTTTTTTTATTGTTTAAGATTTTATGGTAGGAGCAAATTAATTAGCTACTATTCGGTGATCGTGTTTTGATGTTGTTAGTGGAGAAAAATTGAGGGTGTTTCGGTAAGAGTGAGTTGTACAACAACTTTTGACTCTTCATTCAGTGCAAATACCTGAAACAAAATTTTTTTATTTTTCTCGAAGGATCAAATAATTTATTCCACATAACTGACCAATCAGCTTCCAGGTTGTATTTTTATTCATATAACCTCATGGTTTGGTACAATACTTCAGGTTCACGTGAGTATCTCCTGGTGTGATAGCTGTTGTACAAGTTTTTATTGCTCTCTCTTCAGGAGGGCACTTTAAAGACCTTTCACCGTGCTTTTCTATGATGCCCCAGTTTTAATTAATCAATTTCGAGACGTAAAAACGATGTGCTTAAGCCACCACCAAGTATAATTTCGGTACACGAACGAAAAGAGGAATTGTTCAAACTTTTTGGCAGGAAACGCGAGTGATCAGATAGCTGGTGATTAGTTCATATTTTTCAGTTGAAGGAAATATGCAAATGCTGCCGAAGTGAGACAGCAATTATCCTGTAATGATGCATTGCTATCGGGAGCAATAACACATCCCTATTTGCTGTTCATCACAGCTCCTTGCATGCAATGCCCGTCATTTATCAACATTTTCTATACATGCCCGTCTCCATCTCAACTGTTGTTGGTGATTTCCTCTTCATCAACAGTAATGCCCATTTCCACAGTCATTTTTGCTGTCATAGCACGGCTATCAACAGTTGCCCCAAGAACAGCTGTAATTCGTAAATAGTTTCTTGTAATTTGGCTCGCTGTCGCGAAGAAGCATCCTATAAAGATAAACATGTGCAAAGGTGTGCCTGAAAGCTCCGTTTTCTTTCTCATGAAGAAAATATATGTGAAACTAGCTCACCATGCAGAGCAAGCACAACACTTTCAATTACAAGTGGTCGCTTTTATCACAGGTGCATCCATTATTCCCCATGATACACCGCGAGAGCAACGCTCCCGTTTATTACGTGTTGACCGTAAGACGCGACCTATCGAACAAATTCGTTCTCTTTCCATGTATTTATGCAATAAACACGTGTCCCTGCTACACCACTGTATGTCCTACCCCATCCACCATATTTCCATCCATCATGGACATCCCCGTCGATGAACATACAAAAAGCCAAGGAAGAATTGAAAAAGAAGCAGGAGCGATACGGCGCGCTAGAAATGCCAGAAAACGGCACGTTAATAAACTACTTGAACGAGTGTGAATGTCCTGAGGTGGTACGCATACCTAAATCGTTCACCGACAGCGAAAAGGAAGACTACAAAATAATCCAAAATAGAAAATGAAAAAATTAAATGAAGCATTTTATTGCATGATTTACCTATTACAGCGGTTGAACCGCACGTTCACCAAAACGTACGGTTCATTTGTACAAGTTTATCGGTGTACTTCCACGCCACACTACCAACCCCTTCCTCACAGCATCCTCACCACAACATAAACAACCACAAAGACAACAAAAGAACCAACAAACCACCCTCCACATTCCATGGTACGTTCACCTGCACCCTTCACATTCTCATCGGTCCTATTCACATTATACACCATCCCCATCTGCAATCTCTCAACATGTGCCTTATCCTTCTCCAAGCACCCGTCAAACTCAATCGCCTTGGTCTTAAGTTTCTTAGCATACCGCTTCATCTCCTCAAGCACCAAATCGTTGTTCACCTTTATCACGGTGCTGTCCGTGTGTACGGGCAAGCTTATGTATTTCTTGAGGTGTGCTTGTAGGGATGTGTTGAGTGGGCCCTTTAGCTGCTTTGAAAGCACTGCTAGTGCTATTTTGGTGTACTTCAGCCGTTTCAGGTCATGTTTTGAGTGTGTGGGCTGGGTGGTGAGCTGTTCTAGGGATGTGAGCAGGGATGCGATGGTGTTTTCGTTGAACATAGGGGTGCATGCGAACAGCTCATCCCTTTATTTGGAGCGGTACGGCAACAAAAAAATAAAAAATGTTTTTCGTTCTGTTTATATGCTGCATCCCTCCTCATTGATCCATGCCTCCTCACTGCTCATACACCGGTACAATTCACCCGCCCTTTTCACTTAGATAGCGTATCAATCGCAATTAACCGTACGTTAATTACGAACATACCAGCGTATTTTACATACCTGACCGTACATCATCCTTTACGACCCAGTAGCACCATTTCTATTCGTATAGCAATTTCTACTCGTATAACACCGCATAACTCCACCACACCGTACCACTCCATCACACCGTCCTACCCCATGTACCTATCAATCCTATCCTCAAACTCCCTCAAAAATCTTATCATTCTCTCATCCTCCTCCCTGTCCATCTCTAAATATCCATAAATCTTATCCAGCCGTTCTCTATCGCTACCCTTCACGCCATCTACATCCTTAACCATCTCATGCACATTCTCCTTGTTGATAATATCACTTTCAGAAAGTGATATGTCCGAATTTAGCAGCTGTTCGTCCGATGAGTGCCATTCGCCTGGTTGAATGTTTTGTACGGATTGTTTCATTTCTTGGGGGTACTTTGGTGTTTGATTGCGCATTTTTTTATTTCCTGGGGTACGCGTGAACACGGTACGACTAGCACACGTACCTTTGATCGACTTGCATTCTGTGCTGATCCGTACTTACAATGTAGATGCACGGTGCATTGTGGTGCTGATGATCTGTGTGGAACGATTCTACCGCTCAGTCGGTAAACAATAACCATGTTCAATCTGTAAGTATGTTTGTACCAGGTTTATCACCAGTCTGTTCCTTCCTATTTATCTTGTTGCTCCCTTCATTTCTGTTCTACGTTACCTATCCCATACATACATTATGTCATTTACCACCCCCCTTATTCTTCCCTATACTACCTTACCATCCTCATTATCGTACTTGCCCCATATTCTCCGCCCCATATTCTCCGCCCCATATTCTCCGCCCCATATTCTCCGCCCCATATTCTCCGCTCCATATTCTCCGCTCCATATTCTCCGCCCCATATTCTCCGCCCCATATTCTCCGCCCCATATTCTCCACACCACCTTACCACTTCCTATTTAATCCTCACCCCCTCTCCGCACCCCAACAAAACACAGCACTCAATGAACAGAACACAAGAATACCGCTCATTAACATCACACAACCAATTGAAACCATACATTCCCGCCCATGAAATACCACCGCATACGTGGCAATCCCTTCATAAAAGAATAGCACGCCTCCATAACGAACCGAACACCAAAGAACTGCAGGTGGTGAAAGCTGAGCTGCACTCCTTGAATAAGAGGGTAGCTACGCTTCGCACGGACAGCAAGTTTCATGGGGGTGTGAAACGTACGCTAGAGATATTCGTGATTGAAATGCTGATTGATGTGAATGCATTGCTTAAGAAGTGTAGTGATGGTATTGGTAGGGAGAACAAGAATGGTAAGGATGATAAAAGTGAGGGCAAGAATGGTACACGTGCTAATAGCAGTGCCAGTATCAATGCTGACAGCAGTAGTGCCAAGCGTACGTACGATGTACTTTTACATGAAACAGAGAGTAAAAGCAGCATGCAGTCGCTCTCAATGCACCAGCTGCACAAGATGCACGAAAGCACGTCAACCACAAAACGGCAGAATTACACAATGCTAAACACTCAGATCACGGAGATAGGACAGCTCATGACCGACATATCGATGCACATCAACATACAAGGCGAGAACCTTAAGAGAATAGATGAGGTGATAGAACGGGTGGATGATAATTTGTTTGGCAGTTTTAGGGAGATTGAGAGGGTGTGGGACAGTGTGAAAGGGAGGAGAAGGACTATTATGTGGTTTGTTGCGTTGTGGATTGTTGTTGTGCTTTTGTACGTGCTGTTTAGGTCTATTTAAGCGGTGTGGTGAAAGAGTTGAATGGGTTTAAAGGGTGGTGAAAGGGTTGAACAGGTTTAAAGGGTGGTGAATGGGTTGAACAGGTGAATGGGTTGAACAGGTTTAAAGGGTGAATGGGTTTAAAGGGTTGAACAGGTGAATGGGTTGAACGGGTGAATGGGTTGAACAGGTCGGTGCAGATCATTTCTAACAAAAACCACAGCAACAAATCGTGTCATAATCTTAATACGTATAAAAGCACCACGTGTTAAATAAATAAGCATACATTAAAAGCACCAAATTATAAGAACGTATTGATTTACTAACCATTTTCTGTACAAACAGCTGTTCTTATCTTCTCTGTGATGTTGATCAACTGCGAATTGTGATCAATTTACAATAATTCATCGTATTTCTACCGGTACAACAACAAACAAATCACTCATACATCTTGTAATAGCGCACCGCATCGCCACACACAGCAATGTCATCTCCCTTGCACCCTATCACCTTGGCCATCCCCTCTCCCTTCACACACACCCTCTCCCCATCCATCCCAAAAACATAAAAATTACCATCAAAATCTCCCGTGACAATCCGTCCACAATCATACACGCAATGCATCCTCTCGTACACCAGTTCCTGTGTGCACACCCTCTGTATGCTCTTCGCGTCCGCCTTGAACACCTCGTACGTCTCAACATGCGATTTGTCGTTACGCACATCGTACAGCACCACCGTATTAAGATTGCGTGCCACAAACGAGCGGTCATCCACCACGGATATGTCAGACACGGCCGACAGTATCTCTCTGTAACTGTCCGGCTGGTAGCTGAACTGGTGTGTCCGTTTTGACTGCACGCTCGCACGCATATCGTTCAGGTATATTCTGCCCGATGACAGGGCGTATAGGAACGTGTCGTACGAGAAGTACGTGCATTTTGTTATTACTGAGCCGAGATTGTCCAGGTTTGCAGGTTTTATGTTTATGAGGTTGAGCACCGATTGCTTCATCCTGTGGATGTTGTGTATGTCTATGCAGAAGTAGTCTGAGGAGAGCAGAAAGTGGTTGCGTAGGCTGAGCGAGTGTATGTTGTATGAGTGTGCGTCTAGTTCGGACACCAATGCGGTGTTTATAGGGGTGGGGGTGATTGTGTGGATGGCGGGTGAAGGAGTGGGGGTGATTGTGTGGATCGCAGGTGAAGGGGTGGTGCACGCTGGGATGGGGTGTAACTCAGGGGTGGTACACGCTGGGGTAGTCAAAATATGTGTTGTATTAACAGAGGTACGCTCAGCGGTACCATCCAAATTATGATCAAAATCACAATCAACACCCTCCTCATCCTTTCCATCCGTACATTCAATCCCCATCATCACAATCTCATCGTTCCTACCAACCTCTACCTCATCAATCCGTATGTTCCTCTCATTGGCACTCACAACCATCATCCGCCCATTCCCGTTATCGTGCACCTCCAAGGCACACACATTCTCAGCAATTTCCATGCTCTCCAAGTAATCAAACGATTGCACGTGCGATGTGTACTCGTAGAACGCGTTGTTGCTGTGCGCGAGCACCTTACCGGTGCATGTACCGTACAACCATAGATTGTTGGTGTGTGCAGATGCCGTTATGTAATCTGCTGAATGGCTCTTGTCCGGTTTGTATGTTACTGTGGGTTTAACGTGCATTTGTACGTTTTTTTTGTTTGAGCCCCTTGGTGCTTTTTTAATTTTTATTTTTGTGGCCCTCTAACTGTCTGATTGCGGTTTGAAGCAAGGATTTGTTATTGATGGTATTAATAGGTTATTTATTAACTGCTCACATTACTTTCTATTAACTGCTCACATTACTTTCTATCAATTGCTCACACTTACCCTCAATAATTCCCTTCTTCTACTCCTCTTGGACCAAACTCATTTTCTAACATTCTTTATTTACATCTCTCCTACCCCACCAAAAATGGTAAAATTCGATGATCAGCTCAACATGCTCAAGTTCATGCAGAAAGAGGAACGGAAGGAAACAGTGATTAATTTTGGTGCTTTGTTCTGTAGAAGAGCACGTTTTGAGTTTAGGGGGGATGAACGGAAGGATGAGGAAAGTAAAAAGGTGCGGTACTGAGGTGGTGGTGTGCTGCTTGTAGATTGAAATGGTGTAATTACATAATTTTTGTGTTTTGTACTTTCTTTTATTGTTTGAGTTACGGGTACAGCGCGATTGAGCGTGCTAGGCACTGCATTTATGAACGGCATGTTTTACCGCTCCCATTCCTCATGCTTTTCACCACCTCCATACTTCACCACTCCCATACTTCACCATTCCTCATGCTTTTCACCGCTCCCATGCTTCACCCCTAAAAATGAACGTACACCCCGCCACAGACCTCAAAGCAGCATTCACAGGCTACGAACCGGGCGATCCTCCTCTTCTCCAAGAACTAGGCATCCAATTCACAACCATCCACCAAGAATGCTCCCTAATATTCCACACACCAACAAAGTCAGCACACATCGATAGAGTGGACCTAACCGGTCCACTTATACTAATCTTCATCTTCTCGTTCATTCTACTGCTCACCGGCAAGGTGCTGTTCGGGTGTGTGTATTTCATGTGCGTGCTGTGCACGCTTGTAATGCACTTCGTGCTCAATGCGATGGGTGAGTCTGAGATTGAGTACGTCGTGGTCTGCTCTGTTATGGGATATGCGATGCTGCCTGTTGTGTTCTTTGCTGCTGTGCACGTTTTGATGTGCTACTTGGATGTTAGTGTGAATGTTTCGTTGGTGTGTGGGGGTGTGGGCGCGTTTTACAGCGCTTTTGTGGCGAGTGAGGTGTTTGTGGCGTATTTAAAGCTTAGGAATGTGCGTGTGCTCGTGTGCTATCCTACGTTTTTGGTGTATATGGCGTTTGTTGTTCTTGCTTTGTATTAGTACGATGGTTAAATTAAACGGTTTTACTGTTCGTACGTGTGTTTGGTACTGGAGCGGCTGTGTTTGATCGGTGCCTGACCGTGAAAGAATGTGCCAAAACGTACTTCTTAGTTATTTGCAACACGTACCACCGGTACGTTGCGCTGCACAACACGGTCTTTTTGTTCTGTACGTTTTTATGATGTGTCGTAGGAACTGAAAATACGGGTGAAGCGCTAAGATGGCGTACCGTAATTGAGGAGTAACAAACGATGTGAAGGGCACAGCAGGAAGGGCCCTTTCCTGGCGTGGAGCGGTAAGGTAAACAAACCGTACCTACGCAACCAGAAGGGTGTTGAAACGTGGGATCAGGGATAGACCGCGTTTAACAGCGATTTTAACAACGAATAGAACCGTTAAGTTGCATTTACTCGTCGTTTCGCTCTCCTAACAGCACATACAAGACTGTTTATCAGCACTTGTACCGTTTTAAAGCACCGCTCTGTCCAACACACTCATAACCAGCACAGCTCATACCGTCCAAACTACTCAAAAAACCGCCGATATACCTTCATATTGGGCACGTCCTTGTACAAAAGCCTGTACGCCTCATGCATGTGTGCAGGCATGAGTGGCCCGCTATCCCCCCACCTCTCCTGCACCTCCTTAGCCTTACACACCATCTCGCCAACAAACACCTTGGCAACACCGGAGACCGCAATGATAAAATTGGGATTGCATGCCTGGTTGAGAACGTTGTTCACCAATTTTTTGATGTTTACCTTGAGAAATCCGGAACGTCGGAACGACTCGTAGCGATGCAGCTGCGGTTCGGACATTTGATCGACTATTTGCAGGATTTGGATGTTTTGCTGAGGGCCTGTTGATGTGTCGGAGCATGAGGACGATGTGGATGAGTGGTCGTTGGGATGCCGGTCGGGATTGGGAGGTGGTGATTTGGGAGGATTCTGATTCGCCATTTTGGGGGTACGAGATGGTGTATTTTGGATTTGTACAGCGGTGAATTCGGACTGGTGGGTAAGAATAGACAGAAAACGGCATGAATTGAAGAAAATAATGCAATTGGCGAAAAAGGGACGGTATGAGGAGGAATTGACCTGGAATGAAAAGAAAACAGAGGTATCAAAAATGAGGTACTAGGACCATAAAAAGAACTGTGAGGAGGAAAGGATGGTTCGAATAAATGGAAATAACAATATGATTGAAAACGAAGAGTGCGTCTTTTTTCGTTAACAATATGCTTATTTACCTGCTCATGCCACATCATTCATACTTTTCTGAGTTGCTGACACAGACCGTAACCATCGGTCCTTGGTCCACGAAGGAAATCGATGCCTATCCTGCGCAGCCATCAACACAGCACAAAGGCGTGCTGCAACCGCAGCAACGACCCTAACACGCAGGCTGCGCCTGCGAACAACCCCGGAAGTACCGAACATGATTACCAGGTCAAAATTAATTTTTTAGTCCCAACCAAAATCTGTGAGAAAGCGTAACACGGCAAATTAAAGAAGGAAATACCACAAAATACGAATTGGTGTTGTTTTAAAAACGGGAACAGTGCCGCAGATTTTAAATAAAAATGTAACAGAGGGAGCAGAAAGGCCCCCTCTCTTGCTGTTCGTTAAATTTAACACAGAGACTTTAAAATCATCTGCAACGCATTTAACGAGGGGCAAAGAATTTGCAGTTTTTATAACCGAGGGGCAAAACCGCTCAGATTGCGTACTTCTTCGTACGAACACGGCAAATTGACAGAAATAATAATTTTTACTAAAACTGCCTCATCACACAAACATTGAACAAATGCTTTTTAGGCAGCACATGCCGCACCATTCTTTAAACGGTTGTATCGGAGTGCTCCTCTTGCACAATGTACGCTTTTCGTGACACACAGCACACAATATGGTAATCGTTCGCGCGATAGCCTGCCATGAGAAAAGGTACGCAATGGTACACCCGTATCAAAAAATGCATGCCTGATAACGGAATTACCGGCTGCATAGGACACTTCAGGTTAGCACTTGCCGTTATAAAACGGTTCGAGCGGAGTTTACACGGACCTCGTCGTGTTACGCTAGCACGTTCAAATCATACGGGCCGTGCCCGCACCAAACAGCCATCCCAAACAAGACAAACAGTTTTAATAAATTACACACTACTCATGCAGGAAACATCTTCACCATCTCCATCACGCTCTCCATCTTGATTCGATCGCTCGCCCGCCTCCGGAACACGCCCTCGCACACCCTCTGCACATACTCGGGCAGCCCATCGTACCCCACCTCAAGCATCTTCAAATTCTTGAACGTCCTACACAAATTGTCCTTTGCAAACGGCTGCTCACCGCTGTACACGTAGTACACCACACACGCATACGCCCACGTGTCCAGATCATCAAGATTGACCAGCTCGCCCATATCAAGCACCTCCGGCGGTGCATAGCCCGGTGTTCCGTTGTACACAAGCCTCTTCGCCGCACACATCCTATCGCTCGACACGATGGAACATCCAAAGTCGCACAGCTTTATCTGCTCCCTGCGCACGATTATGTTCTCGGGTTTGAGATCGCCATGAAAAATATCGAGCGCGTGCAGGAACTGCAGCGCATCTCCAATCTGCATCAGAAAGCCCCTACGCTCGCCATCCGTGAGCCTGGCCCTCTGCTTGTTATTCAGGCTCTCATAAACAACACGCTGCAACGTAAACCCGTCAAAATACTCCATGATAAAGAACGCGTTCTCCCGGTCCTCCTTAAAATCAAAGAACTTCACAATGTTTGGCGAGTAGCACGCGTTCTTCCTCAGGATCTCGTACGCACGCCGCTCGTTACTTATAAAGTGCGGGTTTGTGCCTGCCATCAGCATTTTGCACGTAATTTTTATGGCAACGCGCCGGTTTGTTGTGCCGTTCAGGCCCTCGTAGACCGTGGCATATCGGCCCTCACCCAGCACGCGCACCGTCTTGTACTCTCCTACGTAGTGCACGAGTTCCATGACGGTCCCAATTTTAAAATTTTTATTTTTTCTGAAAGGGAAAGACGACGGGAAGAGCGGCCGAACCGGCAGGAAAACGGGAGATGACCGGCCGCCTGTGCCAGAACACGTAAATTTGTAACGGGCGCACATAAACGTGCCGGTGCACATGCTGCACAGCCTGTCAAGCACGGACACGCGGTACGAACACCAAAGGGCGCTTTGCACTCAATTGGTGGCACCGCTATTCATGGACCGTACCCACTGTTCCAGTTTTATTCACGCGCCACGGCCGCCAATCAATTCGTACGCTCTGTCTGTGGAACGGGCCGAACCGCTTCCCAACTCTGCTCATTAAATTTCTTCATGTGCTCCTCTGCTCACACACGTTTTTTCGCTTCCTCATCAAATCATTTTTCTAAAAGTGACGTGCTTTGATAAGAAACACCCGGCTTTCGTTCAGAACAGGGAGCACATGTCCTTTCCTACGGACAGCACCGTGCATCTGCGCCCCGCTCTCAACCAATGCAATCAAATGTCCATTTTTGCGCTGTTGTGTGCTCTTCGATGCTACCGCTGTTTTAGGTGCGTACGTTCATCACGGGTGGCACTGCCGTTCTTTTCACCGCACTCCAGCGGTACCACGCGTGATCGCATGTACGAGTACCTGCCACGATTGCAGGGCGATGCCGTGATTGATCTGCACCAAATATTCTCGTTCACATTAATTTATGGCACATCTTCTCACGCAGAACACAATTCTGTTCATTCATCCGATCGTGGGCTGTTCGTCAGCGTAAGCACGGCCGTGCACACCGTTTCTACTCAGGCACTGTTCAACGATGGCAACCGATCGGTGGACGTGTTGCGAGGTGGCAGTGCAAAACGGGCAGAAGATGAAAATGACCGTATTGTTATGGCCGATGAGAGGGAAAGAGCAGTTCAACGTGCGTAGTTGAGGAGTGTTTGCTCGGTTACGGTACGCATGCTGCGATGGCGAATCGTTTTATTTGCTGCCAGGTGATGCGCAGCGAATACGAACGGGTAATTGAAAATATGTGCTGGTAAAACTGCTGCTAACAGCAACGAACCGGTAAACGTGTGAGAGGAGTAAAAGACTTTTCATTCTGTGCATGGTGCAACGCATCGGTGCAACGCCATCGGTGCAACGCCATCAGTACAACGCATCAGTGCAACGCATCGGTGCAACGCATCGGTGCAACGCATCGGTGCAACGCATCAGTACAACGCCATCGATACAACGCCATCAGTACAACGCCATCAGTACAACGCCATCCTCCGGCAGAGAAACGCTATCATCACTTATTTTTATTGTAACCATCCACCAAACACATGAGCAAGGAGTGCTTCCTGCCAAATTTACTGCTCCACAGCACAGAATTAATCTCATCCACAAAGTCCGCCACTTTCTCATCGCTCACCATGTGCTCATAAAAATCATTTTTTATGGTGGTGTACCCTATAAGCGAGTACACGTTGATATCAAGCACAAATTCGTATTTCTTTCTGAGCTCTCTTACAAGGTTAAGGGCTGCCTGATTGCCCTCATCTCTCAACCGCTGCAGAAAAAGTATCTTAACGTGCAGTTCTGTCAACGTGTGCAGATCGTCATCGCTCACACTAAAATGGTGTGTGATGTACTTCAAACACCTCAGCGGATCTTTGGCGTGCAGAATGTACTTCTTGATTTCTTTGAGCTGCTCGAAGAAGCGGAGGTCGCGCGGCAGGAATGCATGGGTGAGCCTGGCATATTCCTGCGCTGAGGATGTTGCACAGCTAAACAGCATGTGGTCCATTATAATGGTATCGATCAGTATACGCTTGTTTCTGTCTAATAGCGCCTTGTACGGCACTGCATCCGGTACAATCATATCAAGTGCACTGTCTTCCTGTACCCTGTCTTGCACCGCTATTTGCTCCTCTACGTTGTTAGAGTCCTCCTCGTTTCTGTTCTCCTTGAATTTACTTCCACTCATCAATCGCTTTGTTTTGGAACGAAGGATTTAAATTGAAAGATACGTAATTTATTTGTTGTAGGGACGTAAACTGAAAGATACGTACTGCCGATGAAAAGAAGACTTGAATTGGCTGATCAGAACGGAAATAATGAAATATTTGCTTGGCACCTCACGGAGACGAGGACAAACTTATACGAATATTTGAATGGGTGAAAGAGAACATGAGATAGATACCTCTATGATTAAGAGGTAAAATGTGATAATGGGAAGTAAAAGAGACTGAGGCAATAATAAAAGAAAGACTTTATCGGCTATTTTTAACACGGTAAGTTGTTTTTAGTTGAAAACACAACAGATGGTTATTTATAGAACCTGATTAATAATTATTCAATTGGTATAAGCTATGAGAGTGTAGAAGAATAATACTTATGTCAACAAATAGTATCGATTGCTATGAAGGTAAGCAATAAAGTAGCTTCGTAAATGTAGAAGAATATAAAATGATAACTTTATGAGAGGACGCACATAATTAACGAACAGGCGGCCTTAGATAACAGTAGTTTGCGTAAGCGTCTTTTTTGCGATAGCTATATCAATTGTTATAGAATGCCTCTTCTATAAAATTTAAGTACCGTTGCAAAATATGGTTATCCACAATTGTGTAAAAATCTCGAAATTTAACGTAACATAATAGACATGTGAAGCAACTAAAAAAAATAAAGAGCAAGTAAGGCTGATGAAATAGAACATAGATTTGTAAAGAATTTCATTAACGATATGGTTACCTAAGAAATCGTATGCAATTACATTTAAAATACAAATTTTGACTGCTGTCTTGATTTATTATTTGTGTTCAAAGTATCACGGGCTTATCTAAGATTCTTCCCTACAGTCAAACCGAAAGATTTAGTCAAACAAATGTCAGCTGTTGGTTCAGTGAGTGTATTTTTGTGTAGTAAGGGTATGAATTTCCTTAGAGCAAATAAAACTAAAAATTTGAATACTATTAAACTATGTGTTTTACTTTTATGTATCCATAAGAATTTTTTGCTAATATGATTATCCGTGCGCTATATTCGACTCAGCAGCGAAAGTAGGAACATGGCTTTAGGAACGTCAAGTTGGTTGCCACAGTAAGTTATGGTAGATCAAAAAAGCGTCTTATTTAAAAATTGTGGTTTAATGAGTAGACATGATGCTCATAGTAAAAGAGTAGACAGATTGAATATTTGTTGAAATATGATTTTTCTGAAATAATCAAGGAGACAAATTAGAGTTGTGAACAAAACAATGCTACAGATAAATACGTAAGGCTTGGTATAACGTATAAAAACGTACAAGATTTTAAATAAATGGCTACATAATCATTCTCAGAAAAATATGCGGCAACAAAGGACTATGTACACGTGAATCGTTCTATAAAATTAAGCAACTATGTGCTATATCTTTATGTTTCATGGCAGGCACAAATAGAGTTGCACTGTAAACTTCAGTAGAAGGTGATTTTCGGACCTGTGAATGGTTATAATTACTAAAAAGAAAGTAATGATCATAATCCAAGGTCGTGCCGACTAACTTGATTAGATAGCAGAATAAATGATAATTTGAATACTTACGTTTCGTTGTGCCGAATGATGCCTGATATCATCGTTGTCATAAATATTATTCCCACAGGAGGATGCGAACTAATCCCATAAAAATAGAAATTTTTGTGTTTAACTACTTTAAAATTATTCTATTATTTGTATTATGCAAGACGATACAGATACTTTGCAATAGGCGGTAACTATCTCGCTATTTCTCAGGAAGCATCTTTACTTACTCCCGGATGGAGCATATACATTTTGCTGGTCCGCTGATTTTTGATTTGCTTCTTTTCTTTCTCTTACAATTCCAAATAAAATTGATAGGGCTGTCAAAACACCGATATTTCCAAGAACACGCTAAATCACATATAAGCATGTTCATGAAGAATCGTTAATGCGAAAGTCTGCGAAATAAACGAGATAATATGGTTTACATGAATAATTGTGCGCCTTTCAGCTTAAGCAATGCTGGTCATGACGAATCAGTAAAGTGTGCACAGACTTAGACAATAATATAACAAATTGTGTGTCAATTTAGCACAAAATTTTTTGTATACCTAAAGCAAGTAATCTTGAGTTTTTTCGGTATACAATGTTTTATACTGTCAGAATGCCTTTTAATTTATAAGTATAGGATTTTGACCTAATGATTGTAAAAATCTTATGAATGTTTCGTTTATTCTTTTATCGCTTTGTATCTGTATTTTTTATTCAACCACGAAAGTCTAACTTCAATCTTGCCGGAGTCAAAGTTGACCGCGAATTTCATATCATGCCGGTGATTACCCACACGAATATTAGCATGAGTGACGTAAATTTTTAGCAAATATTAATATTCGTGTCAAATTCAATGTCCTTTAATGTAACATGCTTCATCTGTCGGTGTTTGAACAAGTAATACAATGTTAAAAAAGTCAAAAGTATAAAAATTAAAGCAGAATGGAAGGGTATGGCCAGCCGTGAAAGCGTATTAGTGAGCATTTTGAAGCATTTAACTGACGGAGAGCTGCTTTACTATCAGAGCAAAATGCCAAAATACGAGTTGGAGGAACAAATCAAAAGTATGCGCAAGGTTGTCGAGGAATACAAGGATTTTGATCCGGAGATTGATGATGAGTGTCGTTTTGCAATTTTTATTATTCTAGAACGGATAAAAAATGCCATTTTACTCGAAACAAAGGTACAAAAAATAGTTGAAGAGGAATGTCATAAATTTGTCTATGCTCTGAATAAGACGCTTTCGGAAGTTAAGACAATGTTAGACGAATCCGCTGAGGCGGAGGACGAATCCATGTACGATATTAAAAATGGAGTGATGGGAGCAACGACTAAAACCAAGCAGAAACGTACCAACTATCCTAAACAGATATCCAAATTGCTAAAGTCATGGTTGCGAGATAATATTAATAATCCTTATCCTACAGAGAAAGAAAAACAGTTTCTTTGCGACAGGACAGGTTTGGATCATACGCAGATAAATAACTGGTTCATTAATGCTCGGCGTAGGATCTTACCATCCTTACGGCAAAAGCATCATAGTGTTGGATGATTGAGAGTTGAGATGTCTGTTTTTAATAAAAAGTCTTCTAGTTTATGCTTGAAGAGATTTACAAATACTATTATCGAAATGTATTGTCCTTATTTGCGCCAGTGACTTTCAATCTATGATGTGCAATGGTAAATTACTGAGGCTACAATTTTATGCTATTGCCTTTTTCAGTAACTAGCACGAAGATATATGTCCAAACCTTAATGTTAAAGGGTCTATAATTCATTTTTATGTGAAGTAACAACTATGTAAGTAAACATATTTTTCTTTTTTCCACGAATGAAGTCATAGGTTTCTTAGCTACCTTTTTTCGGAAATAAAAGATTCGTGTATTATTTAATATTGCATATTTTTTTCGCTGCCCGAACTCAATTTTGAATAAAGATTCTTACGCACTAGCAAATATCGGACTATACGTACTCGCCAAAAAACTTGCGAAAAATATTGACATGATATGACCACCAAAAAATTAATTCATTCATAGTTTGAAAAATATGAAGTAAAGGCAAAGCGTATAATTATTTGATTAGAATCAACCAAAAATCGAAAGCTTATATAACTTTTTATAACTTTGTAAAAGCGCACGTATGGACTGGCGAAACACGCTAAGCAACTGTTCAGGTATAATATTAGGGTAAAACATCGATTCCTGAATCACTCGTATTGTTATATTTGTATTTCAATTACTTTTTCATCGGTGTCGACCTAGTCAAACTGCAGTCTGACACAAGACCATTTCAAGTCTATTATTTGCTGGTTTCGGTATTGCTGTTAATCTTGCAATGTATGTCACAAATTGCAAGACAACCTGCACATAAAAACGATTTGGGACTGGTGTAAATTTCTTATTATTGATAAGAATGAAACAATGATATTTGGTATGAGAGATGCATATGGAATGTGCTTTAGGATGCATTTCTTGCGTTGTAGGTATCCACATACACATTGGCCTATAAGTGACGTATGATATAACAAGCATTTATTAAATGAGCAAACGGGAGAAAGCTACTATGCGTTTAAATAATAAAATTTCTCACACGACAGTTTGAGTCACTACCTGACGAATTTTTTTGATCAGGTCGGTTTTAATTTTGATCGTAGCCTACAAGCGCGAATTGTATGGCATGTCTGTCGTTCGCTTGGTGGCCTTGCGTGGATGATAGATTATACGTCAGAGGATATGATCCCACGTAATTCCATTTGATGAAGAAAGACAGCCTGTACAGAGCTAAGCTAAGACTGCGTGGCCAAGCTGGCAGCGAGATCAAGGATGCACTTTTACTTTATATAAGGCAATGGAACATGGAGGCACCAGTCATAAGGTGTAAAAGTGCTTATAATCACCAGGACGTCGCGTTTGATACATATATTTTCGAAGAGCGGTTTTGGCTATACGTGGAGCGGTTGAGTAAAAAGTAATAAAAAGGCCGTCACACTCAGATATAGCGTCATAGGCAAATTATAACGCGCATTTCATCATTTTTCTTATGTCATTTGGATCCGCAAGCCAAAAGACAACAACTAATCAATATCAGCCGATCGAAAATTTACACGTATAAATATGTATTGTATCGAAAAAACGAACACATCTTTTCATTAAACAATCCACTTCTCTGCTGCTCTCCACCCTACAATGCTCAACATCGCTCCATGTAATTAAAAACATTACAGCCCTTCCTTCAACGATCGGTCTGTGAACGCTGAGCAATTCAAATAAATATTTTACCTCCTACGTTGAGCGGTACTGCACTGCTCACACACATCAAACGTACATTTCATTAAAAAAAGATCAGAACTATCTTTATTTACCGTTTTGACTGTAAAAAAGTGCAAATTCATTATTCATACACTTCCATTGCTGCGGTACTACCAACACGCCAGCACAACTATCAGAACAGCACTACACCTCCTTCAAACAGCTAAATTGTGCGTAAATTTCGTTCACTCTATTCCTTTCCGATTCATTCAGCCTCGGTTCATCTACCTGAAGGGCATTGCACAGGAAGAAAAGCGTTACCTTGCACTTCAAAATGTTGGGATCAAGGAGTGCCAAAGTTTCTTTGTTCAAGAAATACATCTCCTTCAGTTTCATGATTGTCATCAAGTTGTGTTCCGTAGACTTGTTCTTGATGTTTTTTACGAACTCTTTGATCGTATCTGCCTCACATCTCCTAACTATCTTATCGACCCGTTTGAAACTTACGGTGTTATTGAGCAGTTTGTTGATTCTGCCAAATTTTGCTCTTATCTTAGCGATTTTTGACGAGTAGTGCAGGAAGTAGCGGTAATCTACCTCTGCTCTCACCAAGTGGCCCTTCTCGTGCTGCCTTGCCAAATTAGTGTAGCTCTCCATTCTCTCATTGCTTTTAGCACGGTCAGCAGCCGGCTGTCTCGTTCTTAACATGTTCTCCAGTATCACATACAAATTTTCTTTTATGTCATTCAGCTTGAGGAACTCGTCCAAGCTCACTAAAAAGTGCTCGAGCCTATTCGCATCACCTTCTATGTCTTCCTTGAACACACTCTCCATCTCGGAGAAAATCCTGGCGGTCATCGCATCCTTTGCCCCCTCAACCGATTCGCGAAAAGCACTCAAATTGCTCCTATTCACGATATTAGATACCAACCCGTAAAAGATGTGCAGCTTGTTGATCATCGCTCTGTATTTTACAACGCTGAATTCCTGTGCTACGCGGGCATTTATCCAAACTGTCACACTTTTAAATATTTCCTGCTCAATCAGGAAGGTGTTTGTGATTGAGAGGGTCTTCAGAACGTAAATAAGGACGTTCTCGATTTCGCACAGCGTTTTTCTGTCGTTGAGATGCTTCTTCACGAGTGCAAGCAACGTATTCTCCATTTTGCTGTGCTCATCCCTTTCAATCTTGAAGTAAAGCTTGAAGTAGAACAGCGTATCCTCAGTGCTCCCGTTCTTTTCTATCTCTGCCACTAAAATATCAAGAAAACGGTTCTTAACGATGTTCGCCTGCCTCAACTTCGTTGACAAGAACTTTGAATCGTTCTTCAGCTTTGCGGCTGAGTTGTAGTGCTTTACAAATCCCTCGTAGTCCAGGTATTTAAGATCGTACTTAAGCCTGTCCTCGAGGTTGATCAGCTTATCATAGTAGTGCAGTATTTCTCTACGCCTGGTGCTTTCATCACTTAAATGTGCACTTATCCCGTGTGATAACGAAATCTGCCGTATCTTGTCCTTCAATGCTGTAAGGTTGTGCTCGATCTGTTCAAACACGTTCTTCACGTACGAAAAAACATCATTTTTGCGTATTTCTTCGATTGACTCTCTGCAGTGCACAAATTTGCTGAAATGCCTCCTCACTAATTCCTGATTTTTTATTTTATTTCTGCTGATACTCTCTTTGACATTGGCTAGGGTGTCGTTCAACCCGCCAAGTGTGTGTTCCCTTAGCGCAGAGTTGATGAAGAGCAGCGGATCAAAGCTTTCCTCCGCGAACACCTCGTTGCTCGTCATATGGTCGCTACTCGCCGTTTCTGAGGATAACGAATCGGACATGGGTTAGAGCAATTCGCGGAATGTCTCCCACAATGATACGGCTCGAATAAACAATCCGGTGACTTAAGCGAATGCCGTATTGATCAAACGTACTTCTACGACCACGACATGCAACGTATCATGTGATAGCATATAAATTAGATCGCAGAACCAATTCTTTGTCAAGGACCTTTGCTCTTGCTGCTGGTCATTCACGGTTTTTTCTCTAAAAGATTGCGCAATTCTTAAAACATCGCACACGGTTGAACCGATCAATCCACGTGTTACAAACACAAACCTGCTTTTAATTCTGATTCCTATCATCGTGGTAAATGCTCACACCACCCGTGCCCACAGGTATTATACCGCCCACTATTATCGAATCGCTTACACCTGCGATCTCATTGCACTTGTTATTAGCAGCCGCATCGAAGAGGTGCTCGCCAGTCTGCTCGAACGATGCCAGCATTAGGGGACTGCTCTTAAAGTTTTTTATACCGAATCGTGTTATTCCGTTGACCTTGCCCTTGAAACACATCAGGTCGGCCAGCAATGTGATGTGTTCTACGTTTATTTCTATTCCATGGCTTTTGAGTGTGAAGACGATCTCGTTTACAATGCTGCGCTGTGCCGCTTCGATTCCAAGCACCGATTCAATTTCAATTATATTATTTGTGAGTGCCGATTTCACGTTTGGCATTCCCAATATTTCTTGCAAACCTGTTCCCTCCGCTAGGAGCTCAAACTCTGGTCCTGCATCATCGGCACACACCGGCGATGAATCTTTTCTCGCTCTTTTATGTCTTACGTTCCCATCCTTAGTACCGGCCACCCCATCAACGTGTCTCTCGTCCTCTTTCCCGTTCACATTCTCTGTCTCAACATTGTTGAAAACAGTCCCTGTTACAGTCGCTACGCCTCTCAAAAATATTTTACCTACCTGCTGTTTCATGTCATTCAGCGTGTAAATGCTGTCCTGATTTACATCCAAGTACATTCTCACACAACCATTGTGTATGAAAGCCTCGCTCTTGTACCTCTTTTCAAGTCGCTCACGTATGGTCTCGTTCAGCGACAGATACTTTGTCTTTGTTCTGAAATCGGCATAAATACTTTCTGATATGTTGATTTCGATGGCTTCAACCACATTTTCAATCCTCAGGGGCTGAACCGCATCGTTGATCTGCCGCATGTCGTTCAGCCCTTTGTGTACACCGGTGATCCGTATGACCGGCGTTGAACACGCCGAAGCATTGATGATCTCTTTCAATCGCGGCACACCAAGTGTTATATTCATACTGCCCACTCCTGCAAAATGAAATGTCTTCAGTGTCATCTGTGTGCCTGGCTCACCGATGCTTTGTGCTGCAATAGCGCCTAGGGCATCACCCGGCTGGAATCCCTTGCGAAAGTATGAATTTTCGGGATTAGGAAACTGAATTATACAATCCGTTCCTCTCACGCTGCCGTCAAAACATAGCTTTAGATCTTCTAGTGCTTTAATAAGTCTCCTCTGCATGTATCCTGTTTCCGCCGTTTTGACAGCCGTGTCCACCAATCCCTCGCGGCCGGAAATCGCGTGGAAGAAAAACTCAAAGGCATTCAGTCCTGTAAAGAACGAATTCTTGATGAATCCTCTAAAGAGCATCTTCTCTTCGCAGTGTTGAAGATCTTTTTCTCTCTGAGCATCGGTTCCAGGATCAATTTCGTGCGTATTGTTAGCACTGCCCGTACGAGACGAAGTATCGTTCATGGTACCGAATGCGATACCCCGATTACCCGGCGAATTTTCACCGTTTTCGTTACAACCACCACCCGTCATAACGGTTCTTCCCATTTCATTGTTGTGCATGGCACCAGGCCCTGAACAACAGCCAGCTGCACCCTCAGTTGTTGTGCTCATTTCAGTTATGTAGGTCTCTCCATCACGGTAGTGCGGCAGACTCCTACCACTATACGAAAGTGGTACTCTCTGCCCATTTATAACTTGCTGTCCAACCATAGCCATCATCTGCGTGATGTTTATCTTTGAGCCTTTACTGCCCGACTCGGCCATGATCAGCGCTGAGTTATCTGGCAAGAGTTTGATAGTCTTTGACATTTTATCGCGCACACTGCTCAGCTCAGCGATGTTATCCGGATCAATTTCTCTTACACACTCACCGATCAACGATTTAATTCTCACAGCCTTATTTCCCTGATTCCTATATTCAAGATCATCAACACCGATGGAGAAGCCTCTTTCGCCGATAAATCGTGCACTGACCCGCGCAATGCAGTTCTCAGCGATGACTATCTCACTGCTGCTCATCTGCGAGAGACATTGCTTAAGCATCCTCTTGGTCATTAATGATTCAAATAGCTTGTGCTTCCTGAAAATCGCACTAAGCAGCTGCTGTCCCGTGTAGATCCTTGTCGGTCTTAGCATTGAGGGCCGGACACTTTTCGCAATTTCATAATCCTGGCTAGCATGGCAAACCTCAAAAAGATAGGTGTAGAACGACACTTCATCGAAATATTCTCTTCCGATTAGATACATAGAAGTGATAAAGTCTTGATTTGGCATGATAATGAGCTGGTTGTCCTTCGGGCTCCGCAGATTTTCTTTAATCCGCATCAAATTGCACTCTGCTCGAGCAAAAAGCGTCTGCGGAACGTGCACATTCATCTCGTCTCCATCAAAATCGGCATTATAAGGCGCACAAACCGAAACATTGAAACAAAACGTCTTATTTGGAACGACCTTGACGAAATGTGACAAAATGCTGAGACGATGCAGCGAAGGCTGCCTGTTGAAAAGCACCCTATCGTTGTCAACGAGGTGCCGCTCAACAACGTCCCCTAAAAAAATCTTCTTGTTGTACAGCGTGCTGATCCGCTTGTTCTCCTTATTGATTACAAAATTGGCGCCGGGATACTTCTTGGGCCCGTTCAAGACATGTCTTCTGAGCGATTCGATGTTGAATTCGGTTACTTTCTCAGGAACCGTGAGGACCTTCGCGATTTGCAGCGGAATGCCCACCTGCTCAATACTTAGAAGCGGGTCCGGACTGATAACAGTTCGTGCCGTGTAATCAGATCGTTTTCCTGACAGGTTATTGCGGAATCTGCCGTGCTTGCCTTTAAGACGGGTTAAGAGACTTCTTAGGGTATTTCCAGATATGTATGAGCTAAAGGTGTTGTTCAGTAGCTCCCAATCGTTGAGCAAAAGTATCAAACTTGAGGTCGTCAGGCTGTTTACGATTGTGCTGCTCAGCTGCACCATTTCGCTAAGTTTTATCGTAAGATCATCCTCATTGGAACCAAATTCTTCGGTCTTAACACTCGGGCGACTGCACGCTGGCGGCACCAGAACGGTACTCACAACGATGTCTGTAAAGAGACTAAAATTTTTGTTTAGGTGCGGTCGTACAGAAGCGTCACCTGATGGATAGACAGCGGTACCCTCGCCAAAGATATTTTGTTCCAGCTCGTTGCACCCCCTTTTGTTGAAATTCAGCAGGTCGTAGTCCTCAATTTGACTGAGCAGGCTCTTCACCACCAATGGATTTAGATCGTATCCCGAGTAAATTATTTTAGTGCCGATTCCCCTCTTAACAACGCCGTTTGTATAACCGCAGTAAAAACAGGTCTGATTCTTTTTGGCCTCGTTGAACAGGATTTCATCGTTGAAAATGTTTTTGCCGCTGATACGGTACAAGAAGATCTTTTTCTCGGGTAAAAGTATCCTAGAGCATTTTTTGCAAACTGTTTGAAGTATTTTCACAAGCATTTTTTGGTACCCGGGATGGAACACTGGCAACGTCAACTCAATGTGACCAAAATGCCCGGTACACTCCTGTAGCGTTTTGTTACATGTTTCGCACAGCTCGCCAGGTGATGACAGCCCTAACTTTGGGTCTAATACTCCGTTCACCATTGGTTTCTCCGTGTTAATGTCATATATTTCCCTTTTGCTCACTTTCAGGACAGATAACTCTCTGGCTCTTTGTTCGGTAAGTATTCCAAATTTTACACTGTCAATCTTTGTTGGCAGACCTTCCAACTCGTTTACAATTTTTTTCATAGGGCCATCCAAATCTAAAATATTTAGCCGTCATGGTACAGAACGGAACCGCCAACACCCCGCCCTCGCATTTTAAAGTAGTTATGATCTGAAAAGCACTTCTTGTGTGTGCCAATTATCATGATCTGGTATTAAAGACATGTTTTACCATAGTTGTGCTGTCTAGCATAGAATTATGGTGGCGGACAGGCAAAATGAGTATTGAACGACCAAAGCAGGACTTTATTACACAAGAGAATTTAAAAAGCGAAAAATACCATGTAATTCACATACAAGAACTTAGTTGTACGTCAATTCTATCTCAGGCATATTACGAATTGGTGTACACGGGTTACAATTTGCTGGGAGATTACATGGTGAACAATGCGTATTTACTTGATATTTGGTGTGCGAATCCGTAGAATATGAATTATCGTGCCGTAGTACGATTTATAAGAGAATTCTGAACATTCCTAGTACAGATAACTTTTGTCCGTAATGTCTGTACGTCTGTCAAAAGCGGTGCTCAACAGATCATATTCTATATTTTTGTGCTGATATTGCCATTTTGCATACTCTTATTGCTTTATATCATTTTTTGTACGAAAAGTGATTTGATCAATGATTGCACATGGCAAGAAACCATCATTTAGGACCAGATCGCCAAATAAGGAAGTTGTTATAGTGGCGTGCTTGTATTTGGTTTAATAGAACTAGGATAAATATATTCAACACCATTAATTTAGATCTTTTGATTAGAAAATGTTGTATGGCAGTTTTACCGCAATGCGATAAATAAATTTGTTGAGCATTTAAAAATACTGGTAGTAGCACCATTTTGCACATTTATTCCATAAAAATGTTATGAATGGCATATAACCTGCAAATCCTACAGAGAGCGTGTATTTTTTGCCATCAATAACGATGTACCACGATTGTATCCTTCCGTTTTGAACCCTACCTTTGTGGTAACTACCGTATTTCATACTTCGTGCTATTTAGGTAAACACTGTAATCGGCAGTATTTCTTATTATCTCACCGCCAAACACCCGCTATGTGCTGCTTGTGGTATGTTATACAGCGATATGCCGTTGATGTACAAAATATATGATGTATACATCTATTTGATCTTTATTATTGTATTTGGTGATTTTTTCATGAACAGAGGACCGCCAAGGTCGTAATAGGCGCTGATCACTCCAGAAAAGTCTATGTTTGTGAGGTGATGGTTAAACAGACTTAAAAAAATTCTTTAGGGTTTGTCCAGCTTTGACCTAATTGGGAGTCTTTCTTCGTCCTTTTTTGCAAAAAAGACTTACCATTTTGGGTATCGTCTCAAATAAGAAAATAATGAAAATATAAAACAAAACAAACAGGCAGAGCCATGGATATAACAAGCATAGCTTATCTACTTATCGTCGTTTCATTTGTGCGCGGATCAGATGGGCCGATCATTCACGTTCGATTAAGTGAAAATTACAGGATCATCATCAACAAGTCAAACGTTGATTTAACAAAAAGCTTGCTCGCTAAAACCGCGCTTGTGGACAACATCGCTGAATTACTGGAAAATAAGAATGTATTTGCCGTATTGGCATTTCTAGGGCTGGTAGTGGGTGATAGATATGCAGATTCGTTTTTGACCAAGGAAAACATGAGTATTTACCTGCAGATGGGTGAAAACGAGGACGACATTCTGAATAGTTCGTCGCTAAACCAATACCATTTGCATGTCTTTCACCAAAGAATAAGTAAGTATTCTGATATACTGCAAGCCTTTCAAACTGAAGGCATTCATTACTATGTTCAACTTGCGAAGACATCACCAGGTATCGGTGATTCTGCTATTACCAAGCACTCATTTATCGATGAATTATTGGCCCTATTGGACGTATTACACGGTAAGGTTGTGGATAAAATTGAAAGAAGGCAAAATTTGATCGATACGCTGCACAATTATGAAACAATTGAAGCGAATGAACAGGAAAACATGATAACAAACAAATACTACGTCAAATTGCTGAAAATATATCTTAAATTTGCGGATGCATTTATGACATGCGCATCCCTGTCAACTACGCTACAGTGCAAGTTTTCATTCCCCAAGACAATCGGACTGTTCGTGGGATTTAGGTTTTTGCAGGCACACGAATTAGGACCAGCCAAAGTCTTTAAAGATGTGTTTGTCAAAGAGCTCAGAGATTTCGAGACCAACGGAACAAAGGATATCAAAGCGGTGGAAATTTCAGTAACCACGAAATTAACGTCTCTTCTGAAGCAATCAGATAGCATGGGAAGCACATCTATCATCATACCAATTATATTTTCTCATTACGATGCCGTTCATCTGACAATGGCCGACGCTAGCGTTACATTCAGCAGAACGGTGCTGCTAAGAGGTCTAATGAAAATGTGCAACATTACCAGAATTACATCATCGGTGTTCTTTCCTAACATACGACGCTTTGTCTCATTCATTAGTGAAACTTCTCTTGACTGTGAGAAAGTTCTTATTCTAAACCTGAAGGGGAGCATTCTCGAAGAAGCTGATATACAAGCACTGAGATTATTTGTAAATCTCAAATGGCTTGTGCTCCCCACTTCGCTTCAATCGGATAACGTTCTTGCTAACATTTTTGCCATCGGTTCAAGACTAAGAACATCGCTCGTTGAGCTTGAATACAATCAAAAACTCACAGAAAATGCCTTCAAAATCCTAAAGGGATGTACACGTCTGAAATACGATGGACTCATACCTGAGCGGACATTTAATGTCAGTGACAGCGACATACAGTTGTATAAGAAACAGCTGACTGTGTTATCTCTGACAAATGCATGCTTCAGCAGACTGCATCAAAAATTAACCTCGTACTTTTTTTTCAGTGAGTTCATCCACCTGAGGCAAATTATATTCCGAGCAGTCCCTCCAAGAGTTGGTATAAGTTTATTCCGCTTGCCAAGGATGCCCAAGGTTATAATTCAATTTTGTGGTATAGCTATAAATACATCTGAAGTTCTGAGGCTTGTGTCCTCTGCAGCCACAAGATATCTGGTATTCAAAAAAGTAACATTCTTAGCCAATGACATTGACCAAGACATGGACAAATACAGCATAAAATTGACTGCAATGTCTATATTTGACTGTGAAATGACAGATAAAAAAGTGATTGGTCTATTCAAAAGGATAGCAGTCGCGAAAGAACTTGAAATCGCAAGGTGTAGCATTGATACAGAGTTGTTGGCAGAAATTATTGAGAATAATCGATCCAAAAAATTGGAATCGTTGCTTTTGTACGAAAATAGGCTGAGCGGTTCCCACCAGTTTAATATCGAAAAGCTGACAAAGCTAACGGATATTTTAATTTTCAACAGAGAGAACAAACCAAATCCAGACAATAATGCCGTTCAATTGTGTAACTTTCACACAATACCACGTAAACCAAAGCGCAAACCACCTTGCGTATCTCTTGAAGGCTTTTGCACAGTGATAAATCTATCATGGCATCAAAATTTGGAAAAACTGGAGATTAACATGACAGAAGATAACTATGATCCTTTAATCAAACATTTGGCAGAGATGTTTCAATTGAAAATGCTGGTTTTGCACGTATTTCTTGAGTCGATTGATCTGGTAAGCATTTTAGAAAGCAAGACAAAAATTAGATACTTGCAGATTTATGGAAACGGAACGTGTAAAATGATGTCGCCAAAAATACCGAAAAAACCTGTGTCGGAGTGCCTAAATATTGTATTGGCGCACACTGTCATCGATCAAAATGGTGTTTTTCAATACATAAATCGCCTTGCTAGCATCGAAGTGCTTGATATAGATATGTCTACATTTGATTTACAGTGCCTTAAAAAAGTTGATGCATTTCGACTGTGTAAGACCGAACACCTTCTTGTCTTTGTGGCTTATTCGAATGAGTTGGTCGAATTCTTAGTGGAAAGTAGCAAATTTCTAAGCAGGCGTTCCCAGTTTTTGGTGACAAGTGAGTAATAAACAAGTTATTATTGAACCACCGATCTGATTCGACTATAAGACATCTTTACCATTCTTTTTGCTGGTTCTGGCCATCCTTCGTATTTGTCATCACCAGGCCAGGATTAGGCTTGCTGTTGTACACAGGCCGGCTGCAGAGTGTGAGACGGACTCAGGAATAAATCGCACCCGCGTTTAGTATGGCTCTGGTTACAGAACATCTCATGCGTTATCAATGCAGTATCGTTGTTACTTTTACTGGATTAGGTCGTCTCATGTTTTTTTGCTGCGCTTCAGGTGCAGTTTCGCTATCCTTCTGATCATTCTTTCTGGTCAGCTTTACCTAAAGATTTTTGGAAGGTGGTTGGTAAAAATAGAAACTCAGGTTCACAAGATACCAACTGCTGCTCAGGGTACGTACAGGTTCCTCAACATGGCAGGTTTATTGTAATTGGAAGACTTATATCCATTCTCACCGCTAGTCAGACCAGTACGGACTATGAATTTGAGAGAACTAGTTGGAATACAACAAAACCACCGGAACCATCACAACATGGACGAACGCCACAGAGATGAACGCAATCCTACGCTTACCAATTTTACCCATTTTTGACCAAGTTTTCGAACCCTGAACCATTCATATCCAAAGGCAGGCATTAACACCGTACTCATTCCACTAGCATCCATGCTGGATAAATAACCGTTCACAGCTGAACATTACACGCTAGCACAACTTTCGCTCGCATACTCTAACAGCTAAAATCCTGTGCCACCGGAACATAAAGGAATTAACATAAACTACTTTTACTTAAAATATCACTCCAGCAATCCTTCCTACTTTTCACCTGTCCTTTACCATTCGTAATACGGCTCACGAACGAGCCCAATCCTGCAACGACTTTTTTTCTTATTTAGCCTTAAATTGAGAGATACCCGCGCCATCCAAGTACTGTCAGATATTGCTTACAGACCGAACAAGGGAGGTCGTTGCCCTTCTAATGTCCCACTCCCCTGCTATTCACCTCAACCTACCTAGACGCCCGCCATAAATAAACTGTAATGTACCAGAAAAAGTACTTTAACGGATAAAAAAGCACCGAACAAATGTTACCATCAGCGGGCAGCTTTGGTGGTGGTGGTGGCAAAGGCCTACCATGTATAAGGCTGCTCAAAAGATCAATCGTATGAATATGAGAATAATCATCTTCCATCTCCTGACCATCCTTAGGCTCCCACCTATTCTCCATAACAGCCATACACTCCTCCCTTTCCCTTTCCTCACTGCTATCAGTCCTCTTTTTCACCATGCGCCGCGCACCGTACACACAGCAACAGAAAACGAACAAAAGCTTGTAAACTTGCATGCGCATCGTGCGCCCACTTCTTTTATATTCCTTGGTTGTGATAATAAAGTTTTTGACGTTTGACGGGTTGATAAAAATATTGTATGCTGAATTGATCTACTCTTTGCTTAGACGAGAAGGAGCACCTTAATTAGGTGCATGCGGGTGCTGCTTAAGCATATAACTTTGTTTGTCAACCCGCAGATTTTATTTACTAAGGTTGGACCAAGATTCATGGCTGGTAATTATCTGTTAGAATCAACTGTTGCGTTGCACATGTGCTTACCGATTTGATGTCTTTCTGTTTACTCATAATGTATTCCGCAACTACATACAATTCACAGAATAGTAGCGCTCCTCATGTTAACCGTACTTTAGATGGCTGATCAGTCCACTACCGCAAAACGGGATTCGGATGGTCATCGGCTGATAATCCGGCCAAATAAAGCAATGAACAGCCCGTTATTGCCTACTTATAGCATATTTTGAACCGGCACAGAACTAAAACTTTTTTGTGCTTCCATTTTTTCGCTAAAATACAAGACCTACGCCACATTATCGGTATTGATCTGAAAAGTCCCGCTCATGAAAACACCCGTTTATCGGACACCCAGTCACCGATTCGTTAATGTTTTTTTCTGATGTATCAGGACTATCTATCGATCACCTTTCTGATTGACAATCGATGTCGATTGTAGATGTAGCTCACGATGCCCGCTTCGAGAGACCAAATTTGCAAATATGTAAATACAAGGAATTCCTCGTATTTAATCCATTCAGCAGAAATGGCGCATCGGTTTCCACTATGTTGACCGTTCAAGTCTCTTACCGATCGGAGCACCCTGGTACTCCAAGCATTGTGTGTCTTAACATCACAATGAGCTGTTCATGGCGCCAACAACCAATGATCGCGCAGCAACAAAAATTGTACTTTTCAATCTGTCGTTGCTGCTGCCTGCGATCTTTGACTAGCTATTTCTGCACGAACGCGATAACCAAACAGACAGTGTTTGCTGAAACACAGGCGATACATCGATTCTACGCAGCTATATGCTCTGAACCGGCTACTTTGTGTGCTTGGATAGCATATCGTGCTCTACTTTTGACAGCTAAAAGCTTTTATCAGTGATTAAGGAAGGTTTTGCTGGAGACAGGCAACTCATTGTCCTCGCATTCACGTGCAGATCAGTTCTACCTGATTCTCTTTGGCTAGAACACGTTTTACCGCTGTGGGTTAATATACGCATATTCATCGTGCGCTTACGATAAAAATAAACCGCACAGTTTAACCTGAGCACATCTTCGGTCATCTTCTGGCACTCTTAGAACATTTTCGGTTACAATCTTTTCTGTCCTACATAATTCGTTCCATTTCACTTCAACAATGGAAGGCAGTTGTTCTCCCGGCAGAATAAGAATATGTGTAAATGACGAATGGCATGTACCTTGTCTCATATGTTGCAGCGCGGTTAAAAAAATGACCAGGAATTGTTCACGAAGGAACCGAGGCCGAGTCTGATGTTCAAAAGGAAAAATGGGCATGGCATTGGTGCTGGAAAGATGATAGTAGCGATGTAAGCTGGTTTAGAGATGGTTGAGCAGAGTATTGAACCCTCCATTGTGGAAAAGACTTTGGCTGATGGTATTCCGAGCATTAAGGCTGTTCATTGTGTTTGTGAGAACTTAAAGGGGATTATGAGATGCTCTGAAAAGGTTGGCCAAAGACAAAGTTTTACTCCGCAGGTTATAAATGCTCCGTTGAAGGCCTGAATGAAGCTGCTACGAGGAATTTTGTGCCTATGAATCCAAACCGAGCTGAGCCCTGCTTAGGTTATTTGAAAAAGTTTGTTGTGGAAGTGATTAGAGATGTCACCAGGTTTGTAAAGACGGTAAATGTGACCTTGAAGTTGGATGTGCAGTCCCTGATCACGACTTGTCTCTCTTAATATTAGCTTTGAGTGGTAATGCGGCTGCTCGATAGACTCTAGAGAATTGAAAAACTGACTGCCCTATGTTTCTGGGTGGTTAAATCACGGATCGGTTGTTAAAACACGAAGATAAAGGTCGTGTACCGTCTTTCATGATAGATATATTCAGAGGTGCACATAGCACACTCACTTACATCATCATGTTAGGATGTCTCTGTATGAAGCACCATACACCAAAATATGTAAGAAAATTGGTGTTATATGTTAACGCGAATTGCTTCTCAGCAGTGGTTGGTTTAGTTAACGTTTCTATAAAAAAGATTTTTCATTGCAAAAAAGCATTTCTCAGTGGGCAATGATCTCTCTCATGTGCAAAAAACAGATAAAATATGATTTTTAATAACATGTGGGGACAGAAATATTCAATGCTTCATATGAAAGAACAAGTAGAATGTTCACAGCATGGTTATCGTAGAAAGTAAAATTGGTACACATGATACGCGAAGCAGCACATTTCATATCTTGTGCAAAATGTAAATTGGATTGGAGTGATAAGTTTGGTTGCTCATAAAAAATAATTAACTCTGTAGAATATGGATTGTAGTTGACGAAAGATATCAAAAATAGTTTAGTGCTAAGCAAATGTAAAATAGATGTGACGGCAACCTGCAACGAACAACGTAGGCACTTTAGTACTACATGTTTCCATACCTGTCATCTCGCACACAGTGCATGAAGCTAGCCAACAGTAATATTCGTTTAATTGATGATGCTCATCAAATGACATGATTGACCAGAGCTACAACGGTATAATAAGTCAACTGCATGTAAAAGTAATAAAAAGATCGCTGTTTTATTTCCACTATCTCTTTCTCCTCTTGAATGCTCGTATTCTTTCTTCTGTTTTCTTCCGCTCGATTTCCTGCATCTTCTCCACATATTTGCGCTTTTTCCGCACAACTTCGTTCACAGTGCTGCGAAATGCTTCATTTTCTCTTTTTTTCATCTCCTTTATACGTTTTTGTTGCTTCATGCTGAATTTAAGACCTGGTGTTTTCTTTGATTGCGTTTTCCATGGTTTCGTTAAAATGTGCATTTGATTTACTGGGGGGAGCTGATATAATGTAAATTTGTCAATGACCTGCGAACTAAAAGGGTCGGAGCATAATTGCGGATTCTAGGCCAGTATATTTCAACAAGTTAGCAGATGCTAACAAGCAGTAATTACACATCCATCCGGTTACATCTCACAGCAACGCTGTTCTCGTCTGTAAAACTAGGCAGAACTTCATTATTATACTCAATAAATTAGCTGTAACATCTTCATTATTAATGGAGCATCTTTGACTAAGAGGCGGAAAGCTCATCATCTATCACGTTACATTACGACCAACGATGCTGACATATTATAGATTCGTAAAATAAATTCATCGTAGTAGTGACCAAGAACTTTATTTTTAAGATATCACGAGAATTTAGCACACTTAAATTTTACCATTTTATAATTGATAATTTCTGGAGCCAAAGGTATTTCTAGCTATGATCACAACTTGCTTCGTAGTTTCCAAAGCGTAAAAGGGTGGAATAAAAGTTTGGTACAGGCAATGTTGTAATTATATTCTATTGCACGAGATGAATTGATATTGTAAAGTATTAGTAAAAATGTGTTGAAAGAAATGAATTGTGTTGGAAAAAGTCAATAACTCCTTTTTGTGCAATATCTGCTGTCGTAATATACGCTTTACACGGTTAGCGGACTACTTCATATGAACACAAGAGCGAAAACTTCTTATGAGAGTTTAAACACGAATAAAAATGTACTTACTACGGCATTTCTGCGTGTTGCAACGGCAAAGCGTTCTCTTACTGCCCGTTAGCAGTAAATTTCTATGACAATGTCAAAAAGTGCTAATGATGAAAGTTTACATGCAAAACAAATCCAAAAAATGTTCGGCAAATAAATAACACCTGGTTCATGACTTGCTTGCCCTCCAGATACGTTCGTACGAGTTTTAACGAAAATACTTCCCACGTCCATGAACAGCAACATGGCACGATTAAAACGAACTGCATACGTCTTACGCCCGTAATAGATTCTCTATAAATAATAAAAAGATTGCAACACTAATTATGCCTCACTCCATTAGATTTGAGGCGAATGTTCGTACTTGTGCACACTTTTTGGTTGTACGTAACCGCAGCCCTTTCTTATGGGCAAAGCGAAGAACAAGAAAAGAGATGAAATACTTCCCATTCTGCAGCACATTTATAACACGTCACTTATTCTCATACATTCTCCAAACCTTTCGATCAGGCAGACCAGAAAGTTAAAGATGCTGTGCAACCGCAAACAGATAAGGATGTGTAGGGAGGTAAAAAGAAGCATGTGCAAGCGATGTTCGTTTTTGATGGTACCGGGCGTAAGCTGTGATAGTGAAATGTATGTGTCGAAGGGCTATCGGATCAAAATGGTTTGCTGGCACTGTGGCAATGTTAATGATTATTTCGTGGGAAAGGAGGAGAGGTAAAGGAAGAGACAATATAGTAAAATATATGAACTGATAGCTCGTAAAAATATATGAATGGATGCTGTGGTAACAGAATTAGGCTTCAATATTGCTTACGCTTACAGATACGCAGTTTTCATAACTTGGTATTTACTAATTAATATGAGATCTAATATTTTTGTGTTTGTGACACATGCACCGATACAAGGCATTTCTTTTCCTCAGATGTGACGAACCACGGAACAACATGGCTAAGGATGCCTTGTACAGAACAAATGTTATCCAAAAAAATATTACTTTCTTTAGAACAAATGTGGTACGCTTTCGGGGATACTTAACGGTAGCTCGCAACACAGCGACCAGCTAAGAATGATCAAACAAACTATTTGTTACCTAAGAAGAAGTGTGCAGGTATGATGGCACGTAGCGTTCTAGCACGGCCGTTTTGAATGGTCTTAAAAAGGTAAAATTTAACTATTTTTTTGTACGAGAGTATCACCAGCCTTTTAACTAAGTTAGCTCATTCCACATTTATCAATGAAAAGCATCGACATCCGCAATTTATTGCCAAACATTACAGTAATCAACACCCATTACGTTAACAACTCCATCCTTCTCCAGCACTTCAACTGGATAAAAAGTTTTAACCAGGTTCGCAATCGAGTCAAATCCGTGTATTTTGGCCTGTGATACACCAGTTGCTAAACTCATGCACACAAATATAAGATCTGTTAGCTTGCCGTCGAACACATCATCAGATATTATACGTTCAAAAATATATTTCATCATTTCTTCGCACCATTTTTCGCTATGATCAATCTCGTACGTCTCGTAATAAAAATACTTGCAGTACATCATGACTTGTAGACCAACCGTTTCACTGTCCTTATTTCTATCAATATCTATCCGTGCATCCGGTATGTTCTCCTTAACCTGCGATCTAATGCTTTTAGGCAAAAAATCGCTCAGATGCGATGCGACAATAAGCGTATTTATTCTTTTACGACCCGTGTCCGTCTGCTTTACACTCTTCAATCTTTCCAATGCTTGCTCGTTGACTAGTTCTAACCTACCTCTTGAACTGTTAAACCCTCTCTTAAGAATCTTGTGCTTTATTTCAGCTCCAAATAATTTCATCACATCCAGTTTTATCGGCAATGAGTCGATGCTTCTGTCAAAGTTCTCGCATTTCTTCGCTAAATCTTCATCAAAACCTACCTCTGGTACAGTAGTTCGCACATTCTTCACACTACTACTGTTTCGGCACGTTTTTCGGTTTAATTGTTTTCCATCTATTGCTTCCTTGTGCTTAGTTCCTTCCTTTTTCCTTCCATCGCACTTTTTATCCGTTTCTGTCTCCGTTTCCTCACCAACCAAGCTCTTTGAGCAAAGATTTGTTGTTCCTCTCAGAACAATTTTTATTTTCAGGAACGGAAGAACAACAAGCAGCGCATTTACATAGCACGAAATAGGATACGCCAGATCGTACTCTATCACCAAGTTTTGCAGAAGTATCTTTGGATGAAAGACATCTCCTACAAGCATCGATCCCGGTGACATTTTACTAATTAAGCCGATAAAATCCAAGTCAATGTCTGTTATTCCACGTAACTGCGCACTTTTCTGTGAAAGAAGCGATAAAACCACCCGATATTGATTCATGGCCTGAGGGCTTAAAAACGCGAATTAAAATTAGCAAGCCGGGAATCAACGGTATTCCAGTCCTAGCTTGTTGATCAAATGCTTTCTTTCTAATTAAATTTATTTGACGTATTGTAATCGATTAGAACGTTTTCAGCGCAGAGTGGCCATACCAATGAAAAGTAAGCACAGCTATTCGAACATATTTACAGTTTTTTAGGTTTACAAGCACAAAAATATTACTGGAGATTGTATTAAAATTCTTTCCGCTAGTTTACCACACAAGCTCACACTTTCTACATCACGCACTCGTAATTAGCACTGTTATACAAATCTGTTCTTCATGAACTGCGGTTCGTGTCGCAAAAAACTGGGATTAAAGATAACATCAAGAATTATCGACATTCGCACAATGTATGACGGCTTATCTCTCATTTTTTCAGATTCTTCCTCATCAACCTATGAAATGAATAGCCGAATAATTCTCGGGAAAGAATACAGGCAATGTAAGAGTCATTAACGGAAACTGAAAAAAAATTGGTAGACAATTTTGAAAGGAAAGTGATACCAAATTGATATTTTTATAGGCATTGCAGGTACGAAAACAAATGAACGCACTCTGTAGGGTTAGATCAGGTCTGTCAAGGGCAAGAATGTAGATCAAACGGCAATTTCGATATCACTAAATTTATTTATTAGTTCGATTACATCCACCGCGCTACGTTACAATTTGAAATTTAAACGCTGTACCCCTCATGGCAGCCGACCAAGGATACGCTAAGCTCAAAGCATGGATAGAAGACAGTCTGGATCAATTCAGAAATGATCTGATGAACCTTCTTTATCCACTTTTCATCCACATATACCTGGACCTGCTCTTTGCCAACGACATCAAGGGGGCCAAAGACTTTTTCAACGCTAACAAGGATGATTTCCACAACCAGGAAATACAAGTGCTGGAGAGCATATGCACGCCACAGCATCTCAACGAAAACCCATTGGTAAGTGCCTATCGAACGAACAAATACAGCATCTCGATGGGAAAGTACGCCTTCGATCTTTTCATCAATTTCTTGGAGAGAAATCAAATGACACAAATTTTAGTACTCGTTAACCAGTACTTGAACATAAAGGTGCACCAGGGTATAAAAAAAAATGAAGAGATTGAGGGACTAACCGAGAAAATCAACAAAAACATAATGATTGAGACGAATTTATACAGTTCGTACACCGAAGAGGCTATACTTAAGGATGAGCAGTACCGGTATGATCATTTGGAATCGTTTGTTCTGGGACTAAAGAACAGGAACCGGGAGAAAGAGAAAGTCATGCCCTCGTCATCGTTCATCAAACAAGAAATCGAGAACTTGAAAGATCTCTGCAAGCGGGTCACTCTGAACAAGAACAATCTTCCATCTGTTTGTTGCTACACGGTCAACAATACGTTTGAGAGGGTATGCTGTGCAGAGATAAGCAAGGACCTCAAACTGCTCGCACTGGGCTACAGCGACTCAATTCTTGAGATCCATGCGCTCGAAGGTACGCTCAAAAAACTGAAGAACACTGCTGACCTGATGAAGCTGAAAAACTTGGAGGAGGATCTTCATGAAGACATCGGAAAAACCATCAGGTTAATCGGGCACACTACGTGTGTGTTGAACGTAAAGTTCTTTAATTCGAAGAAATATGTGCTATCGTGCGATATGGACCGGGTTTATCTGTGGTCTCTGGATCTGTTTTGCCTGATCAGCACGTACAAGGCGTGTGCATTTCCTATCTGGTCACTCGCCATTTCCAACGACGATTTAATGTTCTGTTCGGGTGGTGCTGACCGAACAGTCAGTCTATTTAATATTGACAGTCTCTCGCCCGAGCGTCTTTTCACTTCGGCGCTGAGCGACGTGTCCTCGCTTATATTCCATCCCAATTCTCAATACGTCATCTTTGGCTCGTGTGACCACCGTATACGAATGCATGAGATAGAGTCTGCCGAGCTGGTGCGTGTTTTTATAGGACATACTGATACAATCACCGCTCTGGCAGTGTCACCCGATGGCAAGCTTCTCCTGTCCGGATCAAAGGATAAGACAGTCATTCTGTGGGATATAATGACGTCCAAAAAGATAAACGTGTTCAGAGGGCACACCAAAACGGTTTACTCTGTCTCTTTCTGCTATTTTGGGAATGTATTCGTATCATGTGGAGCTGATTTATCTCTTAGAGTGTGGGATTTCAAGAACGTGCTAGCCGTGTACCACACCAAGAATACTCCTTTGATAGATGCCAAATTCGGTTTCAGAAACATTGTTAGCTGTGTAGGTCCGTTCCAAGGATAAATAAAGGTAAATCTTTTATTTAAGTATGATAGTGCCATACCCGCCACTAGAACAGGGTTACCATGGCTCGTGTCCCTTTTTCCCCATCGCTCTTCTAATCACAAGCAGTTTTCCTGTTTTAAGTACGTAATATTTATGGAATACCAACCATTCCTGCCTCCTTACAACCAATAAGTGGAAAATCGAGCAGTTATGCTGCCTTCCCTCTTTTGTTGACAAATCTGCTGATAGTATCACAGATTGAGTGATCTGTAGCTGTTTATCCAGTTGAGAATGCGATTGATAGTGCACTGTAAAACGAATAGGACCATTTCTTCGTTAAAAGCGTTTTATTTATCTCTCCGTATCACCACACCTAAACATCACACTTTCCTGGTTGATACCACCTTTTTAGCTACAATGTGCCATTACGTTATTCTTAAATTTTGCAGTGTTCAAGTTTACTTTTTTTGTTTTTCTATCTTTTTGGGCGCTACAACGGACTTACACCGACGAGCTCAATATTTTTTATTCACACGACCAATTCTTTTGCTTGGCATGGTGCTATTTTAAAAATTGTTTGCTTTTTTTCCCAATTAATTCACCCACAAATCATCTAGAACAAAAATACTTGCCCAGCGCTACCATAAAACCAAAATAAAAAAAGTGCTCAATTCTTAGACCAGCAAAATACCCGTGTTTGACGATGTCCTACGGTGTCTTTTGATCTATTGTTCACGGTACTGCCACTCTAACATTGAACAGGTCGCTTTGTACCAGCATTAAACAAAACAAACCGCAGATAATGGCCTTTATTTCAGTCATAAACCGTTTATTCCATCAGTCCTTCCTCAAATCCACCAATTCTTCAGTCATACCATCCTTTTTATACACAACTATTTGCAGATAATCGCCTGTATTCACATCTCTTTCAGCTGCTGCAAAAAATGCCTTCTTAGTCAGTTCCACACTCTCCTCTACGCTTAAGCTCTGATATGACACGTTTTCCTGGTTGTGCTTCATGATCGTCGAGTCCAACAGCGGTTGTATCATGGGTGATGCGCTGCCATAGCATCTACACATTGTCTGTTCGTACGAGCCGATTGGATCAAACGAATACAACACGGGATCCCCTGTCTCATCCTTTCCAATTAAAACACAAAAGACATAGTAGATAAGGCCTCTCCTGCGACTGTAAAGAATGTTCAGCAGCTTATGGGCCAGTGCGCGGATGCTTATCCTTCTTTCAATCTCGTTCTCATACTTTTCAACTTCGTACCTGAGACGAAAATACACCTCGTTTAAATCGGCGTAGAACCCCGTGCCAGAAAAAACAAATCCATCAAATTCAAAAATTTTGGTCATTTTGCGCGAATTGATGCCCATTACTGACGAATGCCGTGTGTCAGCAGCGATCATCACGTAATCCTGTTGTTTAAAGGCCAGAACTGTACCGCTATTGTTAGCATATAAGTCATCGGCATTCAGATGCTTCTTCGGCTGTCCGTTCACAGCATCATATATTTTGAAGGGACCATTCATCGCTGCAAACTCTTCTTCACAAAACATTGAGGGGTTGCTGAAATTTGCAAAAATTTAACAGTGCAATGATACGAACATGGGAAAATAGAGTAAACTAATATTCGAGTAAAGTTTTTATGTTTATTGTTTTGAATGGAGTCTAACAGCAGAGAGATTGATTTTCTTGTTCAGAGGGATTCTAAGTTCAAACCATGCTTGAAGGACAAACCTGTGGAAATGTGCAGGGCACAGGTTTGTCTTTCAGAGATGCACTAGTAGAGCATTCAAAAAAATAAAAAATGTTATCTGGCGGTGTTAGAGGAGAGAAGTTGCATCCATAAAAGGTGTGAGACCCTTAACATCATCAGATGGCATTACATGATCCTTGTAGGATCTACGTCTGCTAGTGTGCCTTGGGTTATAAAAGAAAATGCGCTACCGTGTGCAGAAAGACCCCTTTAGGGTCGCGGTATGAGATAATTCTCTGAGCAGGCATGTTCTGGAAAAGGGTAAAGCCCTGCATCGATCAGAATAGCGAATATTACTCTGAAATTGTTGTTATAAGGTTTTTGCATCGCATATGGCAAGGAACGTTATTTCTTGTATTTGTCTCCTTAAACATCAGCAATATCCAGACAAATACACTTTCTGCCATTTTATACGCCTACTTCATTGATGGCGTGTTTTTTCACAGGAATCAAAAATTAATTCAGTTGTGAAAACCGTTTATCCTGTGTACATGGAATATCATATTAATGTGGCAAAGCATTTGTTCATGGTGTACCTTTATTTGATGAACTTATGGCAACTAACCTATCACAGCCTTCAATAAGCAATAAAAAAGGCTATTGGACACGGGCCAATCTATGGCAGGATATTGGGTGTTAATTCATACAATAATAGACTGACAAAAGGGGAAATGTACAAAGAATGGGAAGAGCGTGTAGAGACCATAGGAATACAACCAATTAGAGATATGACCTTGGTATCAGCGGTTTCGCTCACGATTATTTTCATTAGACACATCGTGAGGAAGAAGTTCGGTCGACTTCTTATGAAAATATTGAACCAAAGCAAAGACGAGAAGGAAAAGTGCCGAAAAAAGTTTGAGGGATCGCTATACCGCTTTGTCTACTATGCATACTCGCTTTCATTCGAAATATTCGCGTTACGTAACCAGAGCTGGATATTCTCTCCTGTCCAATACACCTTTAATTGGCCTAATAACAATGTGCCGCTTGTATTCAGGCTGCACCACCTCGTTCAGCTGTGTTATTATCTGACTAGCACGTGTTTTCTGTTCGTAGAACCCAAGTTGAAGGATTTTTATCAGATGCTGATTCACCACATAATAACAATCACACTGATTTCATCCGGCTACTACTACAACCTGGTACGGTACGGTATTATGGTGATGATAATACATGATTCGGCGGATCCTTTTCTTGAATTTGCGAAATTGAACGTATATTCCAAGAATATGCTCATAGCCAACATTATTTTTGTGATTTTTGCGGTAATCTTTATGGTTCAGCGACTCTTAATCTTTCCTGGGATCATCATAATACCATCCATGTACTTCTCATTTTGCTATGGCAGAATGGTTCTAACCGTGTTATCAAGCATTCTTGCAATGCTTTTCTGTGTCAACCTAGTTTGGGCCTATTATATTCTGAAAATGGCAGCAGACTTAGTAAAGAAGAAACAGGTAAGTGGTGATATAAGAGAAACTAGCAAGAACGAATAGATCATTCAGAAGATTAAATTTAATTTATAAGTTTAATTCGTGTATGTATCCTTAATATCGATAATTTAGCACTGTATTGTTTCTGAGCACCCCAGGAGAAAGGTGTTATTATGATACCAGCACATTTGCGGTAGAGCCACTGTTCAATTCAGGCACAATTACCGAATTAATCTTCTAAGTAAATTTAGCATTTCTACCAGATATAACATAAAGTAATGAGTGTTTCGTAATTTATACTTTAATATAACCTTAATCACCTATACACGGTTAAGTGCTGTCCTACATTTTAATACTAGTACGTATATGATGTCGCTCAATGCTAAGAAATTGCCTGAGCCTCAACAACGTGTTGTGTACAGTGCATGGTTATTTATACTCTGCACATATTTACTTTAGTTTGCAGCTGCGATCTATCCCACGTATGTAAGTGTATTTGGCAATTTAACATGATAATTGTTAAATAAGTGGACATAAAACAAGTTTACATCGATTCGTGGGCCGATAATAAATTTGTTGGCCATGTGAAACTCATTCAAATGGTGTTGCTAAATGTAAGCATATCCTGGTGGTACAAATACTGGTAATAAATATTTAATGGGATAACTACGATGTATAAACCGGTACAGGCACCTTTGTGTCCGTTTTGCAGCGACTATTATGAGCTATATCTGCAATTAACCACGCTTCGAAAGCAAATTTGTAAATTTGTAAAATTTGGGCCACCCTAAAATGATAGAAAATGCCGAGATGGATTTATTTGTCAGAGCCGAAGAAAAATTTAGGACTCCGAATGTGAGCGCAAGACAGATATTGAACTCGTGTGTTGATTACAGCACTGAGAAGAAGTTGAAAAAAACAAAGGAGCTGCAGATACCGTATGATCTAAGAAATTACATTGTAGAGAACGATAAAGCATATGAAAGTGGAAAAACAAGTGAAGTTAAGTACGGTGTGTTAGAGGACATCAACGTGCTGTATGTTGTGCACGACAATATACTTTATTTGTACAGCTTTCTCTCCAGCTACAAAAACATGCTGCCTCTCAATGAGAACGTGCTATTTGTGAGGTGCCTTAAACCGAAACCTGCGATTTTTAAGAAAAAAATTCTGACGATTGTACTCGTGGTCACACAGACCAAGCTGTTTTTCTTCTGTGTGAAGGAGGGCGAGGACGGCTTCTTTGAGGTGAAGATAGAGCACACCTTCACTGAAACCGTGAAGGATATAAAAGTGAACGATGACAGCCGGATATTCGCTATAACTAAGTACGATGTTGTGGAGATAAAGTACGACATGTATGGCTGTACATCTCACAACCCTGACGTGAACTTTTTTGAGTATTTCATGCCGATTTTTTTCATCAGAAGGAAGATCAGTCCAATCATCGACTTTGATGCAAGGAACAATTTTTTGGTAACATTGACAAGAAATGAGATTGTGGTTTACACCCTTAAGAAATTCAAAAAGATAAATGTTATTTTGACATGCAGGACGTACCAAAACATAGGAATTGTGGAGGAAGATGGAACTAACGTGGTGATTAATAACAAACTGATGAACACAAATGTACTGATATGCGCTGTTGCTTGCAACGGTGAGAGAGACTATTACGACTCGACACGGCTTCTTTTTAGCCGGGGGTGCCCGCTCAATACCAAGGATACGGACAAGTTCGAACTGCGAGGCACCAATTTTGTAGTGCACAGTGGTGATAAGAACGTTTTGGTGACGCTCAACGATGATCAGCTGTACAACTTTGATAAAAAGAGGGCGGCAGAGAACTACGAGATCTCCGGCAGTGGGAGGCTTTTTTGTGGTAAAAGAATGTTTTTGGTTAGCGATACTGTTACCGTGTATGAGCAGCTGAAGGGCCCTGATTACCTGTTAAACTCGAAAAACACTTACAGAGCGGCAAGAAGTTACGGGCCAATAGTAAATTTGTTCTATCTTCTGATTAAGGCAGAGAACAAAGACACGAGCACATTTGATTATACATTCTCAAAGATTGACAAAGATTTTGTGTATCTTGCAGTTGTTCATATAATCCAGCACTTCTACAGGCTGCCAGTTCAAAAGATATACCTGCTTGATCTGGACATTGCTATCAGAAAGTTGCGGAATATCAGTGAGTATGACGCGTTCGTGAAGAAGGTGATAGGATGCTTGAACTTCGTCAAGATAGCAGTTGATTATCAGTGTAATTATATAATGGATATGTCTGTGCGCGATCTTCTTCTCAATAAGTGCAGTGAGAAAAGAAAGAAGAGCCTAGAGAGCATCAATCTCCTGCTTCTGAAGAACAAATGTGCCGACTTTTTGTCACTTAATGATTTATTCTACAACAGTGCTCTGAATATGATTAAGCGGGGCAGTAGAGAAGCATTGGCACGAGCAGTGGATGATTTGCTTAATTGTGATATCGAGCAAGGTGTTTTTCAGCGTATTCTTGATGCGAAGTACTATTTGGGTGCAATTAAGCTGCTAAGGAAGATGAAACTAAGCTACGAAGAGCGTGTGCAGCTGCTTTGCAAATCACTGCTGTGTCAGAGTGCGCTTCTTGAGGCGCTAGACGATCCAAGAGAGGATTTTGTGTTTGCCGTTTTTGATGCTTTTTTGAGGAACAAATCGAGGTTTAATGACTGTTTGTGCTGTGACGAGAAATGTGAGGACATAAACATAATAAGCTTGTCAAGTCCCTTCCTCGAAAGTTTCCTGAAAGAAAAATTCTATGAAAGCGACAACAAGGAAGAGTTTGATTTGTATTGGAAGTTTTTTATTTACAAGAAAAGACAAAGTGAGGGTGTTAAGTGCATTACTACGTTGATCGATATCAAACAGCTCACGCTAGAGCAGAAAATAGAGTACCTCACCATTATTTCAGCATTTGACCAGAGCAACAAAACTAAATTGCAGATTGCCAAGCTTCAGAGCGAGATTGCAAATCGTATGAAGACAACGATGGACATGCTGCTCGATGCACAGACCCTTTTCAACGATTATGCCTACCCGAACGGATATTACGATATTGCGCTCAAGCTGCTCGATCTGTGCGACTGTGATAAAGAGGTTATTTTTGATGTCATGCTCAAATATCTGAAGGGCCCTGCCAGCGAAATTGAGGGCAAGCTGGCCAAGCTACATTTAAAGGGTTCTTGTCACAATATAAGTGTTATTTTGACGATATTCATGAATAAGAAAATTAATGATGAACTGAACGTGTGCAATATGCTCAATAATCTGAGCTACAACAAAGACAAGATAATAGAAACGATACGAAGAGAGTTAAAGTACAATGTTTCACCAGATGTAAAGAAGTATCTAACAAAATGTGTTAGGAATACGTACGGAATGAATGAGAATGAGATGAATTATTGAATTGTCACTTAGGGAGGATGTTTGATGTTGGTAGTGTGAGCGACTATTTAAAAATAAATGGTGTATGATTAATATTTTGTTAGCAATACCGTTTTTATTGTGCTAGATCCTTGTTATTTCTCTTCTCCATCCGTTGATGTATTTCGTATTCTCATTATCTTAGACTATAACCTGTCCGATCGTGTTCCTAGACTCTGTTTGCGGAGATATTAAACACCTTAATGAAGCGAAAAGAGACTCTGTGTACGTCTGGCAGAGAAGGAAACAAATCAAATATTGCCATATGCTTATGTGTGGAGCACCGAATAGCTTTTTTTTGTAGAGCCTTCCCGTTTAATAGGGCAAATATTAACGGCCTGTCATTTTAACAATGGTGATAATCAGATCGAATCTCTTCGTTCACACCATATTTCAACACCATGCTTGTTTAGTCAAACATTTAGTCTGTGAAATGGTTGTAAATAATTGTTAGCGTTTCAGGATGGCAACTTAATTGTTGTGAACATGGAAAAGTTTTTATTACAACGCGTTTATTTTTGCACATAAACGCGCTGTTGATATGCAAATGCGCCTCCATAGCAAGCAGTGTAGCAACAACCTCACCATGTCAATGTTAAATAAAATGTCCTCTCATGGCACAGCTATACCCGCTAATATTATTTTTACTACAAATCATTCACTTATCTTTACACACCAACAGCATCCAAGCAAACACACATTTACAAAATTACCATTTTCTCACGCAATCATCGGGTACAATACCACTCTCAAGCAATGATCAGGTAACAAAGTTGCACTTTATTCTAAAATTTTATATTTTTTCTATTCTTTATAAGATAATAAACCTGATCAGGACTGCTTTTATCCGATCCATCACTCACAAGAACGTCACAATCAAAAAGATTGGCATCGAGACATCCTTCAATCAATCCAGCGATCAAATTGTTGGGGTTCGGGTTTTTTACTCCGCTCCTGCTCAGCAATGGGTCACTTTCTGTTATTATGTAGTACTCTCTGTCACTTGTCATACTGATTGTTCGTTTGCTTGAATAGAGGTTGGAGAGAAGATTCTTAACGTTCTGCAAGAGCATATACAAATCATTTGTTTGCTGTATTTTGTACGTTTCTAGCAGTTTGGGCGCTAACTTGTAGCCTATATCACGGTAACACGTCTTGATGTCGGCTGAACCTTGTGCTAATAAATGGTGGATGAGCCCGCAGGAAAAGAATTGGACAAAATTTGCTGAGACCTTAGACATAAGGGTCTCGTAAAATGTTTGGATATGAGGAAAATTGGTGCATTCAGCAGATGTTTTGGGTGCAAGAAAAATGAAAAGTTTTGTCGTGAAAACGTGTTTTTCACAACACAAGAGCTAAAAGCGAGTTGTTACCGGTAAATAACGTTATTCATAATATACACCAGCTCAGGTAGGCACGCGTGGATGGTTCAATGGTAGAATAGTGCCCTTCCAAGGCATTGACCCGGGTTCGATTCCCGGTCTACGCACGCGTTTTTTGGCTCAATGATTTTCTTCCCTGCACTTTTCGGTCAGAACATGAACAGCAGCTGCACTCATCTCGCATGTAAAATATGTCTGGAAATTCTTTATTTATATCTCTAACGACAGTCCTAGTCCGCACTCTACCGCACCGACATCCTTCATCTCGGCACAAAAACTAAAAATAAAGCAGTCAAGCAATTTTTTCTCGACCATTAGTATGGCATTCATCATCGAATTAACTTCTATCTTAATGTCCGTGAAGGATGTGCTCAGAAGAATGCCCATCCGGGCACCTATCGAGCTGCTTCCTGCCACAGCTTCCCCTGCGATCGATACAAACTCTGTTAATCGCTTGTAAAACGTCAAATTAACCACGTCGTATCTCATGAGAAGCGATAGAACGCTTGATTGCAGATCATACCTCAACATAACAATACTGCCAAGTCTGTCCCTTAGATTCAATTCTGTTCCGAAGTGCAGATTATTTTTCTTTGTTATAAAACTCATCTTGTAGTTGGCCGTTTTATCCACAAGCATGCCCATATTAATTGTCAACGGGAAATTTAATATGATTCCCAGATCTAGAACAGGGTTGTTATGATTCATCACCACCGTGTTCCTCAGAACTACGTTTTTGTGCACATATACACTCTTGATGAGCAGATTTTTATCGGTATCGATCAGTAAATGGGACAAAAAATTTGATGTGGAGTACAAAAGTGCTATGTTGGATGACATGTTGCTGTTTTCTATGGCAAGTAATGCACCTCTATTTATTGTAAACGATGATCTTATGCCGGTGAATGGCGTACACAGAACATTGTAGGCCTCCTTTGACAACGTTTCTATTGATTCAGTAGGCTTTTCCAAATTAAAGGCCATAGAATACCGTGGGACAAAAATTTTGAGGTCTAAAAATATCCGAGATGACAAATTAAGAATAGTTGCAGAAAAACGGTGAATTTCTTGATTGTTTATACGATAACATGCTGTTAAAAATGGTGTTTAAGGTTTAACTATGAGTTATTCCTGATAAAAGCACTGCTGTGATAGTGATCCTACGTGCCATTAGAATTAGTTACTTTGTCCGATCAAGGCACTAAAAGTTACCGAGCCAAAAAATCACTGCATATATCAGCCATCCACCAAAAATTGCCCAATCACGAATTTGTCCAGGTTCTTGATAAGATGAGTGTACTGCGCAGTAAAACAAATGGACCACACCAGCCATAGAATAATCAAACTTACTATTTATTTAAGGCTCTCCAAAAACATGGTCCACGCTTTCTTCTTTTCTTCCAACGGCATTTCATTCCTCTTAAAGCAGCTTACATTTAGATCTTTATCATCGCCCAACAACATAACATTCTCTCCGTAATTCCTCTTGATATCTCTTTTGGCTTGCTCGTCTAACCGCACAAAATTCAAAAACTGAAATTCCTTTATATCGCTAAATATCCTCTTATAGATCAGGCAGCCGTTGCAATCAAACATGTTGATCTGGTTAGCACTAAGAATACTCACAAAGAGACCGCTCTTGGAGAATTCTACTTTTTCTGCGATCAAATCATGTTCTTTGTACAGGGTTCTTCGGTCATAAAATTTTACTTTCTCGTCGCACCCCACCACGTACAGATGATCAAACAGATCGAAGCATTCTACCCCTTCTATCGTGTTAACCATGACAAACACTTTGTTCTTCAATTCATAGTACTGCACAAGTCCATCATCCAACAAAAAGCTTTGATCGCTGAATTTCACTTCCTTTATATTTTTGGTCTCGTTGACAGTTACAAAGTCCGAGTAGCTCTCGATAAAATTCTTTTCTCTCTCGCCAATCCTCTTGATGACATGAGCATAGCATCGGCTCTTCGTCCAATATATTGTGATCGTGCTCTGTGGATGTCTCCTAGAAATTACCTTACCCGCCCTCTCAAAGTTCAGTTCTGAATCAATTGCTACAGTATCATGGCTGAATGGAGAAAAATACAGATCTTCATACTCTGCGATTTGTATGTCCTCCTGATCAGACACAATATCTGCACTTGTGTCTGAGTCCAACCAGTCAGCCAGCACCGAGTTACTTTCGGATTCATTTTCGTTCTTGCCAGAAGGTTCAGACTCTGTACTACTTTCAATTTCGTTTTTATCGCTATCCTCTCCGATGTTTTTCTCATCACACTCGGTTTGCTCCGCTATATCGTGCTTAGAGACCCGCTTTTCTTTTTCGACATGCTTCTTGCTGTTTCTCATTGCTAGACCCTCAGGTCCGTACCCGTGAATCAGATTCTTGTAGGATTCAAGCGAACCCTTATCCAGCTCAACAACCAACTGATCGAGCACAGCAATGCCCTGCCCAAATAACGCCCTAGTTACATCCTCGTGCACAGTAAATTGCAGTGTCTTAGTATCATAAATACGTACGAGTCCTTCACCCATTTCCACCATAAGATACCTGTCATCGTACGAAAACACCACGTTTCCTTTCGGTAATAAACCGTAAAAAAGCCATTCAGACCCGCTATAAATGCACGAACAATGAACGATAAACTTTCCGGTGTTTGAGACTGTTATAGGCCCCTTGAACTGCGCCTTCTTAACGAGCTGACCCGTAAAATCGTTGAGAAAAATGTATGACATGTTCTCCGACTGCAGCAGAAATAGCTCGTTGTTTAGCGGATCGTATTTTATCTGCTCAAGCTGCACACGATTACCATCCTCGCACTCCAAATCTTTGATGGTGCACATTTCGTACGTTTTACGAAGCTGCGACGGCGCGGCATTTTGCTCTTTTAGTTTGTTCACCATGTTTAGCGGTGCCATTACTATGAGGAAGTCGTTTCCCCGTATGGTGTTGTCTTCGGTGAGAAATGAGGATATTGTTTTGATATCTGTGTCTTTTGGAACACCAAATATTATCAGGGCGTCCTGCATTCTATGGGATACAATTTTTCAAAAATGTTATATGCGGCTTGAAATGGAGCATTGCGAACAGATTACCGTGGAAAAACGCTCTAGACCGGAAAGAAACACCTTTCTTGACAAATACGGTAGTATTCGGTACTGCCAACGTATTTTGGTCAACAAATTTAAAAATATTTGGTTACTAGGTTCATCTGCTAATATTTATTTGTTTCGCGTCATAAGAACAGAATGTTCGTTACTTGACACATATTTTACATCATAAACGCATTCTTTTGAACGCTATAAGCTCTTTTAGTGGTAAAATGCAAAAAAACGTGGTATTGAAAGTCAAATTTACATATTAACCCAGTTTTTCCATGCAATGCTGCACCACACATTCATGGTATTGCAACTTGCACGTTTTACACGTGCCACCAAATTAAAGGGGCACCAAAAATTACACCTCCAAAACAAGAACAGCCCAGCAGCGATGAAAATGAATGACAAAATATATTTTCCAGGCAAAGGAGAGGGAACCATCAGATATATCGGTAAATTGGATGGCAAGGAAGCAGAATATGTTGGAATAGAATTGCAGGCACCGTTGGGGAAGAATGATGGATGTATCAATGGAATAAGATATTTTAGTTGCGGGAGAGGGCATGGTCTTTTTACTACTGTGGACAAATTGGAGAACATAATGAAAGATGGGTGTGAACCTGTGCAGGCTAGTGCAATCATGAATAAGTATAAGGACATGAGTCTCAGGAATTTAAGCGATGTTGGCAAGACACATATAAATCAAGCCATACCAAAGGATGAGATTAGCAGTGCCGTTAAATTCAAGGTCGAAGGTTCTGATGTGAAAGCAAAGCACAGGGCACACGATGCACAGAACGGTCTGAACAAAACTGAGGATGGTGCAATTAATGGTAACAGAATGAACGCATTCGATGCTGAAAGCGCCAGCAAACAACGTTTTGGCTCGAGTAACGGCCAAGACCCTTTTAAATCTGATAATTATAATGTTAAGAATCTTTCTGCTATTCTGGAAAAAGCGATTGATGAAAATTCTGGTAATATGAAACAGAATGAGCTTGCCAAGTTGGATTACGAAAAGCTTAAGTTGATTTACCAGACGCAAAAACTTTACTCGCAATCGCAAATAAGTGATTTGAAATTGCAGGTCAAGAAATTGAAAAAGCGTTGCCTAAAAAATGATAATCCTAGGCTTGTTGAGGAGATTAATCGTTTGCACAAAGAAAACTTGACATTGAAAGGCTCTCGGATGAAAAACGTGCGTTCAAGAGAGCAGATAGATGAGTTTATATTGGGAATAACCAAGGATTGCCTGAAAATGAAGCGCAGCGTTGACGAGGCCCTTGAGCTCCTAAATCGGTGCACACAGAAGAAAATTTCTCTATCAAACGAACATTGTAGCATGTTTTACCTGACCAAGGATTTACTGTTCGCTATTTTGAATGATGATGAAGAGAAGACAGACTTGTATTTTGGAAAATTCAGAGAGATCCTTAGAAAAAACGGTATAGAGTGTTCATTAGAGTAGTACACTTGATAAGCGTTATAAATAAACATCTTTATTACATTTGATATGTATTATGGCCTGGGCATACTCATCTTTACGGCATATTTCAGCAAATGGCAAAATTTATGTTATTTTTCGATAAACATGCACAGCAACCAAAGTTGATTGCTAAAGAGCGGCTAGATGATCAGAATAAATTTGATGCTGTAATTAAATAATTGATAAGTGGTATTAACCACGATTGATACTTCACCATACAATCTAAAACTATAAATAATTTCATGAACAAACTTAGCCAAATTTATATGTTACTTCAAAAAAAGATGTTCTCTGTATAACATTTGCGCATCGGACGTGATCAATGATCGATTGCCGTCAACATCGTGCGAACGAGATTACATCATCAAGAAAGAATTTTTTATATTTTAACGGAGACAATATTGTAAATAATTCCTGTTCAGCCGAATACCATCCATTCGACAAAAATTTTTGCTGAATCGAGGATTAATCCACAGATCATCCAAAAACAAGCATCTCATATGCAGAAAATGACTACATAGATCGTATCAAGCATGGCTGCACCGTTCCCATAAAAAATAGTTTTCAAAACCGCAATGAGAAGAACGTATTTGTTATATCAAAGTTGCAAAACCGGCAGTTACTGATTAATTAAATCATCGTCAAATAACCACACAATTATTATCGATACACTTAGGTTATATGGCATTCTTTTCCATACATGGGAATTGGGTCTCAAAAGTTAATTAAAACAGTAATTACGTATTTTTCCATTTTTGTACACAAATTTTACCCATCACAAGGATGAACACAGATGTCCTCTTTAACATTCCAAACCGAATCAGCTACATCCGCATCATCCTCTTGTTTCTGAGCATATTCCTCGACAACAATTTTTTTCTGCTTGTTTATTCTATTTCAATATCATTTGATTTAATTGACGGTTCAATTGCACGATACTACAGGCAAACCAGCAGGCTAGGTGCCTGTCTCGATATGTACACCGATCTCACGAGCACCACCATTATAGTGTGCAAGATATTGGAGAGGGCGCCATCAACAATTCTCATAGTAGCGCTGTTTGTCGATTTGATCTCGCATTTGATGCTCTTCGCGAATGCGATGGCGGAAAACGTTTCGCACAAAAATCCAAAGCTGAGGTTGCTTAAAATATACTACAACATAGTAGTTCTCGTTTCACTGTGTGCCGGAACAGGAGTGTATCATATGTTATTGTACCTAGAAACGTACAGAAACGTGAACGGGAAGGTAACGCTCGTGTTTTTTGTATTTTTCATTTTGAGATCGTTTTTCAATGTTCTACGTTTTGTTGAAGGAGTGACACGGTTGAGTGACTTGAAATGATCTGCTAATTCTGATTTTGATGTCGAGGTGGTATTGGTGAGTGCAATCTGCGGTAAAAACAAGATTAAACAAATTTTGCAATCATGGCCTGCACCGAAGTACGTGTGCTACCGTTGACAAGAACTATGAAATAGATTGTTAACAAAGATCACATCAATGTAGCCATATAAACTATTTTAACACGTGTGTTTTAATGATCTGATCCTGCACTACATGCCAATCTTACGTCCCCGTTTTCGTACATCACTCAATCTTTTCTCCAGTGATATTTGCTCTTTAATTCCATAGCCATCATAGAACCACACCATGTAATCATCACGATGCACTGTTCGGACAGCCTTCTCTAGCAAATAAAGATCAACGGCCCTGTCCTCGTCCTTTCCTGAGAAATACGATAGGCCAAAATCAATTATATGAATCAGGTTATCAGCGACTATGAAATTTGCTGTGGTCAAATCACCATGCACAATGCCGCATGCGTGTACTTTCCGAACAAGCTGGCCCAAGTTGGTAAAAATGTCGGGAAGCGATAATGTAAGACCGTGGATGGGCTGCCCCTCGCGATGTTCCAAACATATAACAACATCCTTCAAATTCATTCCTGGTATGTTTGACATGCAAATCGTGGTTTTATTGTCAAACTGCTCGTTGTTTTCATCCATTTTTAACAATCTGGGTGCGTCAATCTGATTGGCAGCCAATCGCTCTAAAATCTTTTTCTCCGTCACCGTTCTTTTCTTGCGTATATCAATGTCTATCTCTGGTATTCTGTAGCTCTTCGGTGTTCTATATTTAATTATGGTGTCATTCACCAGGTATATTTTTGCTTCAGCTCCATGTGCTATCAATGTAGGATCCATGGGGTCCTTGCCACAGATCAATTTATTTCTGAGACAAGCCAAGGCGTGTTATCGATGTCAAAATTGATGAGTATTAGCAGAACGTGATATGTTTATTAGAATATTCGAAGATAAGCAGAGACGAACACTATCTCGCTTTCTATTGAAAAATACTACACAGAGGATGTGCCATAGATCAAAGTTTAAATAACCATGTAAAGTATATTTTAGTCAACAGAACATCAAATCATGCCATGTAGAACGCACATTGTCTATTTGATGATCCAGAAATAGGTAAGAAAATATTTTTTACATCCATGAGACCACTCGATTATTCCCATAACTTATCATATTAGCAGTTTTATACAATTCTTATGACAATAATGTTGATAGCTGATCATTAAATCTTCTAATAGCACACCAAGTTGGTAATTCAATACGCCGATCTCATGTCCTGTCCAATACCAAACTATGCAAGTTCTTTTCTCCATTCAGAGAATGAACGTATCTTACGATGGTGTGTAACAGGTAAAAATTTGTAAAATAATGTTTTGACACATAAAATGGTTCGATTTAAAAAACTGATTGAAAGTTATTTGAAAAGATCTGCCAACATCAACAACCTCAAACGCAACACATCATACGAAAGAATAGTTTAAAATGATGTATGAGCAGCTTTTGCTACATAATTTGAACATTAACTCGTCACATCAGCACAGTTACAATTATCTACTTTCACTGTCAATTTTATATTACTTCCAGAAAGTGTGGAATCGAAGTGTCCATAGAAGAAATATTGCTGGTAAATACACAAGATTTTAACATATAACATAGCAATGCGCAGAAATGAACCTTTTATGAGTGGCTTGCGTGTTGTAGTTGATGCACTCATGGCAATATCTGATCAGCAAGAGGTGTCCATGAGTGTGTGATCGGAATGTTATAATATGACACGATATATTTACATTTGAACCTCGAGAAAGTCGTAAAATTACTTGGTTTATGAGTAGCAATCACTCCATTCTGCCGATATTACACAGTGACATTTTCGCTGGCTAAAATTTTTTTTAACACCCTCCCAGAAATGTGCCCACAGAACATGCCAGTGCCGATACAAGCACAGTCGAGAGAGCTTAAATTTGATCCGAACAATGAGTTTACGCGTGAGGAACACTTTAAATCACAGGCCAAACACCTTTTGGCGCAGATAACTTACAAATTGCCGTTAGAGGGCCACACAGGTCCTTTGCTCAAGTCCAAAAATGAGATTGCAAGATTGGAGAATCTCAAGAAAGCAAGCGAGGCTGCTCTAATGAGGGTGAAGGAAAAAGGGCGTAAGCTGTCAGAATTTAAAAAAGATGTGAAAGATACCAATGAGCATCCGACAAATGGCAAGGAGAAGAGGAAAAGAATGGGAAACGCGATAAGAAGAATTGAACATACGAAGAGAAATAACAGTAAAAATAACAACAGGAAAGTAAGACGGGATGACAAGGGCACGGGCAGGAAGAGAGTGAAGAAATAACTAGATAAAGTTAAATTACAATATCGTTACAGTTTTTACCATTGCCAAGTTATAATTTTTGATAATCAGGATATAATTGGTATGTAAATCGTTATTACAGCGTTGATATGGTTCTACGGATATTTTCCACGTTCAGCCAAGATGTATTAAGCTTGTACGTTACATAATGTAGTGATACCCCTGCGAAATGAACTGTAGTTTTATCCATTGTGATTGAGATTCGTGTTTTTTAGATCAAACTAAATATGAAAGTAAATATCTTGGCCATGTGTTTTATATCGCATCATTGCGAAAATATGATATGGATACATATTTACAGCAACATTCTTAATGTTTTGGTGAGTACTGGTCTATACTGCAGTCTTTTTACATTTCATTACGCGCGAATAAAACATTTGCTGTGATTGGCAGGTGCGACACGATAACATACTTTCTTCTAACGTACAAGGCTCTATTCGGTGCATTCTCGGTTTTATGCATCGCTGTCCTTCGTCTTCTGTTCACCAAGAAAGATTTATCCATCTGCTCGTATCACAACATCTAAAAAGCACATTTTTCTGGTCCAAATATACAAACTCACATTTTGGTGACCCCCTCCTGATGAACATCTTCAGTGACAATCCAGAATTCGACGAAAATTTCTATTCAATCGTAAAGAGGTTAAACAAGAAAAGCGTAGCAACACGGAGAAAAGCGTTTGAGTCCTTGTTTGAATCGTTCTCGTCGCTTCCTGTTCAATCAAACATGTCTGTTTTGAAGGATGTTATCGTGCAAAACATACGAGGAGAGCTGAGAAGGGAGAGCACACGGCTGCTAGCTTTAGTTTTGGACTACAATGATTGTCATGATGTGTTATGTTACTGGTTTGTTAATTTTCTTGAGGACAGGAATGACAAGTATAATTCGGTGATACTGGACAAGGTGGACCTAAAACAATGCGGTAACATTATGAGAGAGGTCGATAAAAATGACAGCGTTATGGTACTTAAAGCGCATTACACTCTTTTACGGTACAATTGTACGGAGTTGATCAAGAAATTCGTATATAAAAGCGATGAAACAGGGCAACTTGTGGACCACAACATTTCCGATGAATTCAGAGATATGATACAGACATTGGATTGTAACAATGCTGAGATTTACAAGATGGTTGTGTTCATTCTCATCAAAATGCATCTTCCAATTCCTGAAGTTGTTATTTCTGTCACAAATCCGTCTTTAATTGATATAAAATACAAAATAATCCAAAATCGTAGATTACCCGTTGAGCTGGTCCAGTTTTATGGAGAATGTCGGTATCTAAATCTTGAAGGTGTAAGGTATGTGGACGAAAACTATAAGTTGGAGTACAGCAGAATGAAAGTTATTCGCAGAGATGTGTTTGAATACATCATGTGCAAGCTGAAGAATGGCGAAAAGCGTGATGTTGTCCTGTACTACATCAACGAATCTGTTGAATACTGCAATGTGTTTGAGCATTTTAATGATTTTGATGTTTTGAACGAACAATGCAGCTTTGATAAGGTCAACGAGTTCTTGGTTTATCTGATGAAAGACATTGTGTCCAAATATAATTCCGAAGAAAATTTAAGTTTGATGCTTGGAAACCTAATTCTAAGGGATGAAGATAAAGCTCCGAACTTCTCCTACCATAAAAAAGACGCATATAGCAAAACATGTGTTAGTGCAAAAAGTAGTCACGATCAAACCATCTTCACTTACAATAATTCCAAAGAATGCTTTGATTTTGCAAATAATGATGATGTATCAAGGTGCAATATTGTATTATACGCTGATCCGCTGATATACACGCTTTGTAAGTTGAATTTGCAGCAAATCCTGGTCAGAAGTAATTTGTTGAAAATAAAGGTACAAACGATAAGCTCCTGCGATTCAACAACTTTAGAAACCATTAATAGCTGTTTAGATGCAGCGATAGAGGTGATAGACAAAAAGTTTTTTGTGGAACACCAGGAATATTTCCGGGACAAGGTGTTGTATCGACGATATCCCGATTTGATAACAAATTTGAAGGATGTCGATGAGGAGCTGGTGCATATGCTCACAGAAGAACAACAAAGGGAGTATGGCAGGCTAATAATTGGCGGTGAGAAGCAGGTTTTGGGAGAAAATATTCCGAAAATCCTGGTGCTTCCGTGTTTATACAGGAAGTATTTGGACAATAATGATATTTCTTGTGCTAGCTATGGTATTGATACGAAAGATCTGCTCCTGAACTATCTTGATCATAAGTTTGTAATACGCTTCTGTATCAATGAGAAGGATATTTTTTGGATGCTCTCAACCTTCAAATTTAATAATTCAGTTTTTTATACCTCGAATGATTCGTTGTCAAACTCGTTTTTTTATCGAACCTGTCATGTAAAACCGTTTTCATGTCAAACATATAAAAAATTACGGGCACTGAGGAAGACGTGCAAGCATTTTCAATTCATTGAGTCGCTAAAAATTATCAACATTATGTTAAATGTGAAGAATGCAAATAAAGTTGAGATAAAAGAAGAAAATATAAAAGAACTAGGTGTTAACAAAGTATTCTGTACGAGTGATGATGTTAACGAATGTCTGAGCATATGCAAATTTATCCACAGCAGGAACAATGATGATAAAATTTATACATACAGGGAGTTGGAAAACGGAGTTTTACCGACAGGTGACTGTGGTTGCGAAGAATATTTTCATGATGATTTGGATGCTGCGGTAGATTTCTACGAAGAATGTGAGAGTATGGTTACGCATGATTATGTCAGCACACTTCCCCTAAGTTATAGGAAGATGTGCTATATCAGGGTGGTCAACCGTATAATCAAGTCGGGCTACTTTAAATTTACTGTCCTGCACAGCAAGAAGAAGGAAATTTACCTCGTAAACAATTTTGTTATCAAACCGCATTATATTGAGAATGAAAACCTCAGTAAATTAAGGATAAACCTGAATTTTATCAAAAGAGACAAATTATTACGAGTGAGATATTTCAAGCGAAATAAACATTATGAATTGGAAAAGGTTATTGAAAGATTGAGCAACGATATTTTCAATACGTATACCAAAATGAAGAACAAGCTGAGCTATAGTACAATGATGAAAGTTATCAATCATTTTGAAGATAATGTGTGGTACTACGTGTTCATCAGGAGTGTGAGCAAAATACGGAACATATCGACTGTCCTTTTCCTAGAAAAAATGATAAGCTGTCGAGGTAAAGGCATCAGCGGAAATATAAACATCGAGGAGGTCAACAGCTTATCCGTTTTGAATGATAGTGAAAATAGGTCAAGGGGTCGCAAACAGGTGGAATTGAGTAAGTTTCTTGTACAGCAGCGGTCATCCCTGTTTAAGTGCGTAAGAGAAGAATTTGCCTATAACTTTCCCTCCCTGCTGCCATTCCTCACGAACGACACAATAAAAATCGACTCGTGCATAAAAAGAGAAGTGATGAACAAACTGTACAACGTCAAGCTCAAGCTGTTGAAAGTAACGAACGGATATGAATTGATTGCAACCTACTTCATAAATAACGAGGACCTGCAGTGCAAAATACTAATACACAACAATAAACGACCAACAATAACTACATTAAGGAAGGACAAGTTCATTTTAAAGTTGAACAAATTGTTGGAAATAAGTAACCGATACGTAGAGGTTTTGGGGCTATGGAAAATCAACCTTGATAATAAAATGATGGGTCGAAAGGAGTGTTTGATCTGTTACTACATCGTGGATATGAAGGATCGATTACCTGATTATGAGTGTAAAACCTGTAAAAATATTTTCCACGTAAATTGCGTTGACAAATACCAGACGCACAGCAAGAATTTTCTGTGCCCGTTTTGTAGAAATATGATGAAATAACTGAAGGTAAGTACGCAGACGGTTGCAGTGAAATTGGTGCAGGTATGTCTGAGGTGGTTGAAGTAAATTTTAATGGCTCTTAACGAAATATAAATCTGCTTTCGAACCAGAATGGTGGTGAAAAAGATTTTGGTTTGCCATAAATTGGCAGCAATATTGATCGTTGGTACTGTGGTGTAAGCAAATTGAAAAGTTTGGAAACAGCTGGTCTGATATTGCGGAACAGAATGACATGATGACGAGTTTTTATTCTTCTATGGCGAAGAGATGCAGGAATGGTGCCATTCACGTGAAAATGTTGTCGTTTGGAAGGTTTTATTGCTAAAGCATAATGTTGGAGCGTAGCTGCCGGATTTATCACCAGACATATCAATTTAGTTGCAAATTTCTGATATAAAAAGTATTTTTGGTCTTTAAACGTGTCTTTTAGTGCAATTTATCGTTCTCATTTCCATGTTTTTAACTCCACTGTAGAAAGTCCCAAACACTGAAGATCCACGAGTACTAAAAGATTGCGTTCATGCTATCACTAGCGTGTTACACTAATCTTGTCGCCGTGTTCTGTTGATTCTCTGGATTACACATACAACAAATTATTGTTAGAGCAACACGCATATAAAATTTCTACTTTTTATAAACATTGCTGCCATCGATTCTATTCGTTGAGCAAGCGCAAAAAAATAAATTTTCTGCAAACAACACAGACGGCATGCGCCTTGTAGCTTGTGATGGTGTCAAATTATGATACGGCTAATTTTGATATGTTCCATGCCATAACAGCATGGTGTTGGTAGTTTGATACTGCATTTATCTTTACCATGGCTCTATTCATATATAATACAGCCATTTCCATTCCAATTATCGTGTCTTTGGTTCTTTATTGCAGTGAGTTGCCCATAAAATCAGGAATGCCATGTCAATCAATTGATTGGTCCTATGATAGAAGACATGATGAAGCTAGCACCGGATAAAACATGTTGTTTATCCTCAAAAAGTACGAAATAGGTGCTCATCAGTCATTCCTTGAGTTAATTTAAATCGCTCAACGCCCATCCTAATTTTGCCATCTTATCCTGACATGTCGAACATTTGCTTTCAATCACACAGTCAGAGATTGTTCTACTCAAGAGAAAACGCTGTACCGCCCACGTTATGATACAAATCTGTGAAATTTGCCTGATTTGTCACTGTGATGTGTATTCAACACGGGGTCCAGCAAACCATAAATGCAATACGTGCCGTAATATGTTCCATGAGGAGTGTATTAACAAGTACTGGCAGAACTGCGCGAGCAATATGTGTCCGGTGTGCAGATGCTGTATGAAATAGCAGAGTTTGCAGATTTACAAGGATTTATTTCGAATAATAAAAAGTTGCAGTTGTCCTGGTAAAAGACAAATAATTTAGATCTCGTGAACGGATATAACTGCTCACTAATATTTGCTGTATTACAAAGGAAAATAAGGCTTAATAAATCGTGCCATGGTAGTTGTCTCCACATATTTACCGTTACAAATAGTTTTAGTAACCCCGTGAGCAGCGGTGCGCATTACATTCATGTGCCTTTAGCACACATCGATTATTTTCCAAGATTTCCCTTCGTTTTGCCCACCCTTAGCGAATGGCGAACAATTTGAAAAAGTTCCTGGTAGACGATCTAAACGATTACATAGACAAAGCGGTAATCGTTAAATTGATTGGTGGAAGAGAAGTTAAGGGTTTTCTGAAAAGCTACGATAACAACTTCAATTTGATACTGAAAGGCGGGCATGACTGGGAGTATAGTAATACACTGTTCTGTTTGGGTGCTTCTGTAATATCAATTTGTGTTGAATGATGATGTATTAAAAGTTTATGTTCGCTAATGTGCTGTTCTGCGGAAATGGTGCACTACCATGTGATAGGCAGAAAAGGACTCTTCCTGCACTTGCTGTCTGTTATGTTTAAATCTTTACGCTTATATTATTATTTGTGGTGACCGCTCTCTAAATCTGCTTTTACTTTGAATTTCTTTTGTCCTCATGGAAAGTGCCAAGGAAAAGCTGAGCTTTGCGTTTGACAATTCACAGCTGATAAAAATTATTAAAACGTTCACCGATGAAGAGGATGTACAAGAATTAGGGAATAGCATCGTATCTAAGATTATGGATGGGAATGAAGTTGAATGTGTACAAAATTACCTGTTCGAAAAGTTGGGCGAGCTGGACATTGAAGTCGAATACGAAGACTGCAGTAGTTTAGTTTCTATTATGAAGGAGATTTATAGAGAGGATGAAGCAGGAGGATGCGTATTTTATGAGAGCATTAAAAGTAGCATAAGAAATTAAACACTCTGATTTTACAAGGTTGGTATTGGCAGTGGTGTGGTTCTGTCACACAGGACATATTATTCTTCATTATTTTGTCCAAGTTCTCCTTTGAGTGAGATCACAGCTATCGTATCAAAACAGTTTATTTGTTGCTGACATGAGAAAGAGCAGTAACTTTAGTGGTACGTTCCCAAATAAGAACTAAAAGAACGTTTTTAATGCTTACAGGACGTAGACAGCATCAGCTAATGTATGTGCAAAGTGTGTAATTACTGTTTTTATCGGTTAGAAAGGACAGCAACATCCTCACTGTTTACAAGTTGTGAGTAGTTTATTTGTTGTTTTAAAGCGTGTTTATTTACCTTTGCACATACACAAGGAAGTTTTCTTCTGCAGCTTACTCTGTAAGCTCATAAAAAAATATTTCCCATCCTTAACATGGATGCGCCATTCGTTAAACCGGTAAAAACACACAAAGATAAATCGGACAGAGCTACAAAAGACAGGGTACTTGACAGTAAAACCCTCATAATACTGGAAAAACTGCAGAAGAGGAATATTCTCTTCGATCTCGAGGGATGTATCAGTAGTGGAAAGGAGGCGAACATATACAAAGCAAAAATTAGGCGAACACCAAAGTGCAAATTCATAAAAAGAAGCGATACTGAGACAGAAATTCACGACGACATAGCAGATGCAGGCAGGACTGATGATACAGTCACAAAGGATTCGGTGCTGCTTCCGATTTCTGGCGAAGAAAACGTGGCCATAAAAATTTTTAGGACGTCAATTCTCGAATTCAGAAATAGGAACGTATACATTACGAACGAAATACGGTTCAAAAATTTCAGAGTTTCCAATCCTAGAAAACTGATCAAAACCTGGGCGGAGAAAGAAGTACGCAACTTGACAAGACTAAATAATAGCAATATTCCGGCACCTCAGCCGTTATATCTGAAAAGAAACATAATAATCATGAAATTGATCGGCAGTGAAACTCATATTGCTGCCAAACTGAAAGATTTACAGAACGTAGACTTTGTAGAAATTTATCGTGAGGTCATAGATCTGATCGCAAGGATGTACAGAGATGCCAAGCTCATACATTGCGATCTGTCAGAGTATAATCTGTTATATTATGATAGCAAGGTGTATGTGATAGATGTTGGACAGAGTGTTGATGTAACACACGTGTATGCCGATGTATTTTTGGTGAATGATATTGCGAATGTCAGCAAATTCTTCGAGAGAAAAGGAATCGAGGTGGAAAGCATAAGAAGTGTTTATGAACACGTTACCGGCAAGGAAATGCATTTCGATATCAAAGGGTGTGAGATTAACAAATTGGGGTTTGATACGGGTCGGTTGCTAGAGTTGTGTGATGGTCATAAGACGAGCATGTGTGCAAAGCCGTTGTACGACAAGAATAAGGCGAATAGCACACAAAAGGATGTACATCCTCGAAACGACGGTCAGTTCACAAAAAACGGGATTCTTACAAAAGAGGAGAAACTGGAGCGAAGAAGAAGATTCAAAGATGAAAGAAAAATGAAGAGAATGAGCAGATTGAAGAAAAATAAAGAAGTGAAGAATGTCAAGCGGAAAAAACACGCTCACAAAAGAATAAAATGATGAATTGATCGCTAGTACGTTCTTTTATAAGATTATGATGCAAAATTTAATAAATTGCAGGGTCTTCCATCACAACGTACTATTTTTTGAGATACAAATCGGTTGTGATCGAGTACTATTTGATATTTTTATTCTTTTTAAAAAAACATATTTAATAATCTTTTTTTCGTCATACATATATTTTTGTCTCTATGACTTCCATCCTGTCAGTGATAGCGTTTTGCATGGCAAACAATCATGTTGAACGATATTCTCTCAATCGCGATGCCTCTGACTCTACACTCTTATCGGCAGCCGTCTCGTATTCTCAGTCGCAAACACGTGTATTGAGTGTAAAGAATTAGCTGTTGTCAATACGAGCTGTCATTTTCTCTGATTTTATTTGCTCATCCAAAATTTGAAATAGTTTCACTACACAGGTTTATATGACCAATAATTAAAAATTACTGGTCAATCCATTTTGTAAAAACATGTTCATCCAATTTTACGAGCTAGATATAAAAAACATGGTGCCCAATCAAAAATAGTTTTCGAAGCCCTACGAAAAACGCACAGCGCAAGAAAGCAGGTAGGTGCAGGAAATAGTGATGATTTAAAGGTGCATTAAATTACATCTGACAGATAAACAAGTTTTATTCGTTTACAGATGCAAACGAAGACGGTGGTAAAAAACTAACAGAGGTGGAAACCACAACGTTTAGAAAATTACTGAAATTAGCTGGGAATTTCTGTTTTAATGAGTAGATGAGGCATATCGATTGGCTGTGAAGCACAGTGCTACGTTTATTCGATCTAACGTGTTATTAAATCGTATGATTTAACCCCATTAAAAATATTTCGAGGCTGAGAATGAACAAGCTTTCCAAAGAAGAAAAATTCTATCTAATCACAAGAAACTTGAAGGAGATTTTAGGATCAGACGATTTGCGGAATATCATAGACAGGAAGGATCCTAGTGTGTACTGGGGAACAGCTACAACTGGAAAACCGCATATTGCGTATTTCCTGCCTCTCCTGAAGATAAAAGATTTTATCGATGCTGGATGCGAGGTGAAGATACTTTTGGCTGATATACACGCATTTCTGGATAATCTCAAAGCGAATTTCGATGAAATAGATAGCAGAACGGAGTACTATAAGCTTTTAATAACTGAAACGCTAAAAATGCTGAACGTGACAAAGGGTTTTACACTTGTGAAGGGAAGCGATTTCCAAACAGGGAAGAATTACACGCTTGATCTGTACAAAATATGTTCATTGACATCAGAAAGAGATGCCAGGAAGGCGGGAGCAAGCGTTGTCAAACAGCTTGACAATCCGCTCATCAGTTCGTTGATATATCCCAGCATGCAGGCGCTCGATGAGGAGTATCTCGACGTGGACATACAGTTTGGCGGTCTTGACCAGCGGAAGATCTTCACGTATGCAATGAAGTATCTGCCTAAGCTGGGATACAAGAAGAGAATCCACCTGATGAATTTTATGGTACCGGGACTGAACGGTGACAAAATGAGCGCATCAGACATAAATTCGAAGATTGACTTCATGGATGATGAAAAGACGATCAAGAACAAGATAAAGAAGTGTTTTTGTGAAGAGGGAAACATCGATACAGGTCTTCTGCCGCTTCTGAAACATGTGATATTCCCGGTGTTCAACATCCTTGGTAAACGGGTTATGATTAAGTGCGAGGATGGGAAAGAATTAGAATTCGGGAACTATGAAATGCTGGAGAAAATATTTGTGGAGAGAAAAGTGCATCCCTTGGATCTTAAAATTGCGATTGGTGAAATGTTGAATGTTATTGTAGAACCGGTGAGAAAGGAGATGATGAAACACAGCGAGTTGGTAAAAAAGGCGTATAAAAAGTAAAAATTTGGTTATCTTAACGCTTCATTTCATCGCATATTTGATACTATACTGGATTATGTCCAATAGTCGCTCATATAGGGTGCGTAAAATTGAAACAGCAGAATGCATTTTTTAACAAATAACAGTTAAATCTATGTGTTGAACCTGTAACATCTTTTTAGGCATGTCAGCGAACTTTGTTGGTATTTTTGCAGTTATGAAATTTTTTGATATTTCACCCCACTCAATGACATTCGTTCCAAAAAAAATGCCATTGGCACGTTCTAAAATGTCTGAATTATACATAAAAGAACATTTGAAGGAGGAAAACAAAATAGATTCTGTGCATCCGGGTTTCACTTCTCTCAAGCACTTGTCATATCTGAAGCCTTTTGTGCACAAGTCGATAGTTAGCCCTCTTCTCGGAACATCAGAATATGCGCGTTTCAATCTGGTGCCAAGGAAATCAATCTTATTGGTGGGAGCAAAGAATACGGGCAAAAGATTCTTTCTAAAATCTGTCTGTGTTGAGCACAACATAAACTTTCTTGAGAGCTACATTGATAACGAGAAGGATGTTAGTGATGCATACAGAAAGGCTTTGGATATGGAGCCGTGCCTGCTCTACGTAAGTAATCAGCTTACGAACGAGAAAGAGAAGGTTCTGCACGAAATAGAAAAGAATGCTGAGAAAGTGCGTATGAAGAAAATTTTGACGGTTTTTTCCTGTCAGTCCAGGGCATTTATTGCTGAGAACATTCCAAAGATGGTCTCTGATGAGATTTCTATGAAAATACCAGATGAAAACGACCGGAGAAATATCTTGGAGTCTTTTGTGCTCAAAAACTTTGATAACATCAATTTCAGCGAACTTGCTAAGCTCACACCAGGTCACATGCCCATTGATTTGCACAATTTGTGTGTGTCCGCCGCATCATCAGCGATTGTGAACAATCGACAGGTCGAAATAGAGGACTTTCTACAAAATTTGGCCGGAGAGAACAAAATCACACTTGATGACATTGGAGCGCTATCAGTGGTTAAACATGAAATCGAAATGAACATTCTTTTGCCATTGCAGTTCCCTGATAAGTTTAAACGAATGGGTATATCACGAACATCTGGTATACTGCTGTATGGTCCGCCCGGATGCGGAAAGACAATGCTAGCTAGAGCGATTGCCAACACGCTATTTTGCAACTTCATAAGTGTGCGTGGTCCTGAGCTGGTAAACAAGTATGTTGGAGACACGGAAAAGGAAATGAGAGACATTTTTAATAGGGCGAAGAATCAGGAGCCATGCGTCCTTTTTTTTGATGAAATCGATTCGTTGTGCAGTCGAAGAACCGACAACGATTTTCAGACACGTATTGTCAACCAGATGTTGACGCTTCTCGATGGCATTGATGATAAAGGAAAGGTGTTTATTGTTGGAGCAACCAATAGAATGCATGCTCTTGACAGTGCTATTCTGCGACCAGGTAGGTTTGATAAGATCATTGAGGTGCCGCTGCCCGCAAAAGACGAGCAGGTTGACATCTTGAGGAAATGTGTGAGAAATATGCCGGTAGAATCTTTTGACCTAGAGGGAATTGATATGGATGGCTTCACAGGTGCTGATATTGCAGGATTAGTCAGGGAATCAGCGTTACTTGCTCTAAAAAGCGATTTTATGAACGAAAAGCTTGTGATAGGTAAGAAACATTTCCTTGCGGCACTGGAGGATATAAAGAGGAGGAAGAAGTTGTTTGGCTAGGAATAAGAGGTTCATATTTTGGTTTACAGTGCGGCTTCCTCTTTCTTACTATGATATCTGATAGATGGTAATAAAACCTTTAATATTCCAATTATGTTTTTTCAACTTGCCATATGTGTTATATCGAGTTAATATCATTTGAATGAGTCACAATGCCTTCATCTCATTGATATCTAGCGCAAATTTCTGGATAACACGAAGTTTTACGCAGAAAACAGCCGTTTACAGCAAACACAGAGGTAGATACGCTTAACAGTGATCATCAAAATTTTTATATGCTGTTCGAGGCAGAATGCTGGTCCCTAAACACTGTTATGATGTGGTATTTGAAGGAACATCGCAATGCAGGTAAATATTTTTGTAACTTGGGTGGTAAAAAACGAAGATCATTTAAATTATTGCTTCATTATACCAACAAGGGTGATTTTTCGTTGATACTTTGCCACTTGACTGTAGGATCATGATTATAAGAAATTTAACACAATAGGAATAGAAAAAAGGGAAATATTCGTGATAGGGATGCTAAAGTTAAACTTGTAACGCTCTAGCAACGATGTGATAAGAATGAAATATGCAAAATGCCCTCAATAAATTTGTAATAAGACTAATGTGATATTTTTATCATTTAAAAATAAGAACACTGATTAACTATACTGTTATAAAGAATGCTATGGTAAATAGTTAACTAGTCTTGATACGTTTATGAGGCAGAATTTAGCACAAAGTTATGTCTTGCTCATTTACAAAGTAGCTGCTTAAGGAACTGGTACGTTTCGAGGACGGTTAGCGTATCTAGAGCTGCGCTGAAGGTAATAAAAATGCCAAACTAACTTAGAAAACTATGTGTACAACCTTGCAGGGAGCAATAACTGTTGTGCGAAATAATACCGGTAAATTATGTAAAATAAGTCATTTTTATGGACAGAATAATTTGTAGAGTTGCTTTTTAAAAGTGGTATTGGTAATTAAAAGCAGTTAATAGGTTTATTTGCATATTTTACTCATATAAAATGCAAGTGACAACAAACGTTTTTAGCTTGTATGGGCCAACTAATCTACATAATGATGAGGCGTATTCTTTAGAAAGACCTAAGACCAGTTTCTATTAAATTTGAGTAGCGATGTTCTAATCCAATTTTTTAGACTAATTTTATTATCCTTTCAGTAACGTCTTTTGCAATAAAATATGGATACAGCACAAGTAATCACAGTTAATTCGCATTCACTTAGTGATCTTGTACGCTTTATGCTTTCTGCATCGTTTCTTCCACTTTAGTTTTTTTGTTTTTTCTCTGTCCTCGGCGCCATATTGCCGGCATTTGGTTACCACGCAACAACAGAACAGTCTTCGAAGACTCTTGAACATACCGCAACATCCGCACAGACAACCAAAGCAACAAAAGCAACACGTTGCAACGACCAAATTGATTACTATGCTGAGTAATAGCAAATTGATCAAGTGCCTGGCTGCAAGCCCGTCTTGCTCATAGGTTTCGAAATCAAAAAGTTTTTGAAAAACAGGAGTATCCTCTGTTGCTGTGAGTGATGTTGTTAGCAGTGAGGTGGAGTGATCTACAGCATTTATGATATTTGATGACACTGTGCTATTTATGTTTGCAAGCGGCAGTTCATTAGACTCAGCAATGCTGTGCAATATAGGAGTAATAGGCGGCATTTAATATTTAAGGACGGTGATTTTATCATATGATAGTAAAACTCTACGCATAAGCTTAATTGCTCCAATATAACATGTAAGATAAAAAATATATTAAGGTCAGAAAAGGTAAATTATATGAAAAATAAAAGAACATCACAGGGGAGTTATATTGGTGTTTATATGATTAATAGAAAGTATTAGGCTAGAATATGAATTTTTTGCGTGGTAAACAGCCTTAATATCAATCTTTGGACTGCAAAAGATTCTATTAACAATTTTGTACCTATATGAACATCCATTGCAGGCATTAAATCATGAGATGTGAACTTGAAGATGCTGTTTAAAAGACTTTGCACTGCAAAAATGTTTGAAAATTTGTATGGTTAGTTTTATTATACAATATAGCACGTTAAGCACTGGTAAAAGGCTTAAGTTGATGAATGAAACAACGTTGATATGTATAAAAAGAACTTGTACGGAATTTTAATCAAAAGAGGTGCAAAAAAGTTAAGATATTCCTGGTGTAGAAATCCATAGGTTATAACAAACGGGAAAATGATAAATAGGTGGTCTTTTTTGGCAGGTTAGATATTTATAGAATGCAAGTAATCTGGTCTCTCAACATTGGCACGGTATAGTGCGTAAAGCGGACGTAATAATGCGGAGAAAAGATATTTATGAGCTTAGCAACCGAACAGAACTACCTCGTATGTTCCACAGGTCCGAGTTGAATCTCGCTTGATTGATGAATCGGTAGAAATGTGTAGAAGATACTACATAGGTTGTAACAACGAAGCGGATGCACTGGTAGAAATGTGTTAATAAATGAAAAATGCCAACACATCACGGCATGTGAAGAGAGGTGATGTCTACATATGGTGTGAAGCCCTTACCATTGCATAATAACATATAACATGATTTTCAGGATGTCTGCGACTGTTAACGTACCTTAGCAACCGAGATGAAAATTGATTATTTATAATCAAAGGTTACACGGCCGCAACCAAAAGTAACCCTAGGACTAACGAGTTCTACAAAGATAGGTTACGTTAAATTCGGTCAGAAAAAATGAATTCCATCTCAAAAACGGTGTACAGAACTAAATACCTCTTATTTCGGGCCATGTGTTGTAAACAGCTACGTATGTCAATATCATATTATCTTTTTATTTATATGATTAGATTAATCGTTATATCTGATGTTTTTGCACATGTTTTATGTTCCATCAAAGTCGCTTTCTTAATATTAACAACCACAGTTCACAACAAATTCTTAGGATCGCAACAGATATTAAAATATTTTGTATGCATTTCATAAATTATTTTCATAGGAGCTTTTTGTTGAACGAACGTATCATAAAACAACAAACAAGTTACCGGTTTGAATGATCGAGCTGCTGCAGTTGGCTACAATCATCAACTCTCCGCACAAAGCATGTGTGTTTGACTCCTTCTCTTGCTTTATTGTGGAGTTTTACAGTTCTACTTGTGTAGAATTTAGAAACCCCCTTTCATATGAAGATATATTTCGCGAGCTCCAATATTTCCAAATTTGAAGAAATGCGAGTACTTTTACCGTTTAACTTACATTATTTGGAATTGGATACAAATGAAGTGCAAGGCACTTCTGAGGACATCATCAACCATAAGATTCATCGGGCCAAACGGGAAGAAATTGTAGCAGGCAGTGCCCTGCTTGTTGACGATAATTGCTTAGCATTGGAGGGATTGCATGGATTCCCTGGTGTGTATATCAAGGATTTTTTGAACATAGGATTCGACAACATTGAGGACATTGTCCAAAAAGTTGGTCGAAATGCAACTGCTCGCTGCTATTTGGGACTTTATTGCAATGATAAGGTCAAAATATTTACTGGAAGCGTTAACGGAGAAATTGTGCCGCGTAGAGCAGGCCGTTGTTTTGGGTTTGATTCGATATTCCTGCCTGACGGGAAGGACAAAACTTTTTCAGAAATGGGCGGGGAGGAGAAGAACCAAATCAGTCACAGGGGTATGGCGTCTAAGGCCATGGTGGATTATCTAAGATCAGGAAATTTACTCTGCGTATTTGAATAAAAGTTTTTATTGATGAAATGAACTTAAGGTAACTTTATTTTCGATTACGATTGATAACTGAACACACAGCTGGTAATACACCAAAATAGCAGATCATATTATATGTTAGCGATGTGATAGCTTTAGTTGAAAATTATAGCAATCCAACATGGAGTATAATTCGTAAAATATGGAATTAAACCGTTCACTATATAATACCATTTATCTAAATTACAAGTAATATTTCGTATTTTGTCGTAGTATGAATAATATTTGTTATGGATGCTGTTTATTATACTATATATGTTCACCATAGCCATATCATATACTTGGGCAGCCTCTAATTCGAACACTTCTTTCTCTATCGAGTATCACAAGCTTCGGTGTCATTTTGATAATAAAAAAATCAAAAAATATACGATGCGGCGCGTAAAGTGAAAGGTACTTGATATCTCATCACAGTATAAATTAATTTAACCAGTAATAATTGATGAATGCTAAAATATGCCGATGTACCACCAATTGGATGGAAAAAGCTTTTTAACTAGGTTCATGCAGGTAGATCTGTTAAAGCGTGGCATACAATTACACCCAACAAAAAAATAATAGAAAAACAATAGCGAATAATTCTGCCTATACAGTATTTTAGTTTGAATGATAGCTAAATTAATGGATAAGTCACCAATAACATTTTTTACCAAAACTACATTTATTTATCTCCATGCATATCAATAACATTCAAACAAACATAATTTGCTGGTCGTTTAACAGCATTCTTGATGTGTTACTCTGGTTATCATGTCTGTGACCAGGGTGCAACAATTTAATAAGCATGGGCACACTCATTTAATCTAATTAATTGAAGGCAGTTTGATCCTACATGCAGAAAATTCGAATTATATTTGTGAGTAATTCACCGTGCTACGATTTTTAAAACAATATTAGGTAAATGTTTCGGTGAATATCAAACCTTTTTTATATAGCATTGACGTTTCGTCTCTTTATTGTGGACAATGGCCCTCGCAATATCTTATTGACATGCAAAAAATTATTACTGATACATTAGGAGCGCACATTAATTTAGCTATTTTGTTGTTTAGATTAATTAAACTTAGGAACAAAGCAAAAAGCAGCACCACAACGGACACTTTTCTGGACAATGATCATCCACTTTCCCGATTCATAACAGTTCTGCAAACGGATTTGATATTTATAAAAATTTACGCCTCCCTCCCATCATGAACTTGTACCAGGTCTTAGATATTCATTCCAGTGCAACAGATAAAGAGATAAAAATGGCGTATCACAGACAGGTAAAGAAATACAATCCTAACAAGGACGCGAGTAATCACGCCATGTTTACCGATGTTATATTTGCGTATTCTATTCTGAGCAACGGGAGCACGAAATTTGTGTATGATATGCTTGGACCGGAGTGCCTCGAATACCTAAAGACACAGACAACACTCAGAGTCATATGTGCTATTGTTAATCCGACAAATGTGTTTTTGGTATTCGTGGCAATGTTTATCATTGTATCGACACTTGTATTGGCTACAGTAGGATTCTATTTTATGTTATATAAGGATGTCCGCCTGTTCATTACCGGTATATTCATGAATATTGCACTTTTTATGCTTGATCTGGATTTAATAGCACTGCGAATTTTTCTCAAATTCCGTAATTCCAGTTCTCGATTCAACAAATCTTGGTTGATGGGAGTAATCATCCTCGAAATCCTTGTCCTATTGCAGTGTCTTTTACTGTTATTCAGAATAGATTTTCAGTGGGATATAAACATTGTTCTTGTGTGTATACCATACATCTTGATGGAGATAGCGATATGTGGATCCCTTGTAGCTACAGGGGGATGGCCTCTGTTGGTTCATGTACTACCGTTTATGTTTAGGATGACAGTGTTACTGCTATGGTTTACCGACTTTCCAGCCATTATAAATGTACTAGTAGTGATTTTGATATTTGCACAGTACCTGATCATGAATTACATAGGGTTTGTCGTGTTTGTAAGCCTCATCTCATTCTACATGTTGCTCGTTGCACCATTTGTGATGATATATTATGATATGGTTGGATGGTATACTTTTATACCGACCGGTGTATTCGTGTTTTTGTTTGTTGCGGTGTTTGTTAGCGGGGAAGCAATTCGCAGGCGCAGACACTTTTATAAACGGCTTTCTGAGTGTGTCACAACAACAAATTATTTGAAAGGAGAAAGTATAAATAGTAAATAAATAGAAATATAAGAATATACTCATAGGTTTGTATTGGTTGGTGATGTTTTTATTGTCATTATATGGATAATGATATGTTTGAATTGTTATGAGAGAAATGTTTGCTTAGTGCCGGCATCAGAAGATCTTAACTTCGATATCAACAACTAAGTAATCACACATAAGTGTTTAGTGAGGTATTCAGGATCAGAAAATGTGCTATTTATACGTTGTTGCGGGAAGAGATGAATAAAAATACTTTCAGCGAATAAACACGTCGGTTCTTGGAACGGTACTACGATTAATCATGATTTGTAAGCTAAATGTTACGCTCCACATCACAGCTCATAATGATCAATGGTATGCGGGTATAAACGAAGAACTACTCTATCTGTATGTGCCGTCCCACCATGGTACCGTTAAACCTTTGGCTGTGTGCCACAAAGCTATCTAAAAATATGTGAATTATGTACTTTCATACAGATTTATTCGTTGAAAACACTCACATTGTTCATAAATTGGACAGTTTGATCTATAAATGGAGCAAAAATCCGTACAATTTTCAATCTGATTTAAACCGGAAATGGCGCACCCCATTTTGATGACAAATACCGCGATCATTGAGAAAACTAAAAATAATTCAACAACTGACAATCTTGGTACACAAATAAACAAAGAAATCAAATTTACTTTTTTTATCAAGGACAAGAATGTTATTGCACAATTGGAACAACGAGGAATGCAAAGCATGCGAGAGGTGCAATACAGAGCATACAACAAGGTGTTTGAAGGACATAACGTCATGATACAGTCAAACACAGGATCTGGAAAGACATTAGCGTATCTGTTGCCGCTCATAATGAGCGAGCGTCGAGGTCTTATTATTGTGCCAACATATGAACTTGCTACACAGACCTACCATGTTGCAAAGACATTCACATCCAGAGTAGGTATCAATGCAGGCAAACTTTGTGTTGATTTGCATGCTGATATACTCATAAGCACCCTGGGAAAGTGTAGAGAAATGCAAATGGCTGACCGTGTGTTCTGTTGTATTGACGAAGCGGATAGAATTTTAGAAAATGACATGTTCTTAAACGGTTGTTTCAAACAATTTATCTTAGTTAGCGCAACGATTGACGAGGCAAAGATTCTTAGACGGCTGGTGCGCAGATGTGGTAGGTGGATGAAAATAAGTACACAAACGAAAAATATTCACGAACAAATACGTATCATAGATTGTGATTTAGATAATGAATGTGAAGAAACTGGTAGCGATGAAAAAATAGCTTTTTATCGTGTTAGTGTCACTAATGAACAAAGAATCAGAGAATTCTACATGAAAATTGAGTATGATCACAAATTGTTCATTTTTGTAGAATTACTGAAGAGAAATAGGAATAAAAAGGTGATTGTGTTCTTCAACACGATAAATTCGGTAGTATTCTACCACAATTTGCTTAAGCGTATGAATTTTAACGTAATTGCTATTTTCGGGAAAATAAACCAACAGAAGAGAAAGGCAATTGTTGAAAAGTATGAAACGATAGGAGGCGTGTTGTTGTGCACAGATTTGATGTCGCGAGGATTTGACTTTAAATCCATAGATCTGGTTGTGCATTTCGAGCCAAGTTTTAACTTGGATGGTTACATTCACAGAAAAGGGCGGGCTGGTCGTAATAAAAGTGGCAAGAGCATTCTTTTCTTGTCAAATTTGGAGGTTAAGCTTACTGATGGAATTAACCGGATTAGAGAACTTGTGTATATCGAGAAAAAGTTTCTTGAGCGCAATAAAAGTACACATAGAGTGAGTTTTGGCGATATTCCGCTGTCTAATAGCGTGTATAGTGGTTCGCTTGTGCCTAGAATTCAAAAAATGGTTAAAAACGATTTTGTTCTCCACAAAATGGCGGTAGATGCCTTGAAATCGTTTTTAAGGATATACGAGGGGAACACAGGAAAAAATTTTAACGTTGATTCATTGAATTTGAACGATATTGCACGTGCATTTGGGCTGAAGGAAATACCAATTCTGGATTTTGTATGAAATAGAAGCTCATTTAGTTTTATTAATAAAAATGATTACCTCTAACTTATTCCTCTTTTATATATAATAGACAGCAAATAAAAGGTTTTTACTGCAAAACAGCACATTTTTACAATACCTGCTTATGTTTTAAACAAACTTGTTTATTGTGCGATTGCGTCTACTTGAATCATATTATTCTGCTAAAATATAAAAATGTGATATTTTACCTATTTTTTGTCCACGTTCAGTCTTATATCAATTACTGATGCTGTTATACCAATGAGAACATTTTGTGCACACATCTTCAGATTAGTACCATGAACAAAAAGCCGGTGGCTGCAGTCGGTCCCAACGGATCAGAAACATATGTGTTTTGATGTTATCGCATAAAATAATGGATAAACGTTCTTTTAACGGAAACAATTAGGTATAATCTGATCGTTATAAAGACGGTTTATCAGCTATATCTACGTACCGCTTCGTTTTTCATATTTACCTCCTTTGCAGTTTAAAGAAATAGATCGGGTATATAATCCTTTCCTGCTAGTTTTTTCTTTTTTAGCATTTAAAAAATTCTCAAAAGGTTTTAATTAAAAGATTAACAAAGTTATAACAATCCTCATAACATCACCCTTTATGAAGTTACATTATTTTTCGTCCAATGCCGAAAAATATGAAGAAATTAGAGAACTTCTTCCGTTCCCACTCCACCACAAAAAGGTAAAATTTACCAAAGAACAAAGTTCCTTGAAGGACATTGTGCTTAGGAAATTAAAACAGCTGAAAAACTTATATCCAGATGACATCATACTTGTTGATAGTTTTGGTCTGGAACTTGAGGGTCTTCATGGACTGCCGGGTCCTTATGTTGAAGCCTTCCTTAATATGGGATACGAAAATATTGAAAACATTGTACAAAAAGTAGGAAGGAAAGCAAGGGCAAAGAATGTGCTGGGTCTTTCGATTTTCGAAAGTGTGATCCTGTTTGAGGGTATATGTGACGGACAAATAGTGGAGGCTCGCGGCACATATAGCACGGGGTTTGACCGGATATTTATGGTGGACAGGGACTGTTGCACACTTGCAGAGCATGTATTTAATGAAAAAAAAGTTATTTCACCGAGAGGTTGTTCTGTATTCTATCTTGTAAAATATTGTGAAAGGAACCAAATCATTCGCCTGTTTAGCTGAGAATGAAAGAACATAGAATAAACCTAAGTTGCTATTGTATGTTTTCTTGAAAATATGGCGGTTAATACGACTTATTGATGCATATTGACGGCAACAAATTAGTTTTTCTTATTATTTGTTTCAGATAATCATGTCCGATTAGCTTTTCAACTAAAAATTTGATGCAACTATGTTCAAAACCATTGCTTATTAATGATATCTGTGTAGCGTAAAACATCCATTTCACGATTCAATCCTTAACAATTAGTCACAATCCCGTATTTGAAGATATCCACTGAGAATTACAAAGCTAACAAAGGCTTCAGGCAACACTTCATGGCCATACCTATGCTTTAACAACATACCAAACAAAGCAGAGTCTCTCGCGCTTAAATATTATCAACCGGTAAATTTTTGCTCCCAGGTGCAAACGTTAAAATCATTCACATAGTCCATTAAAACTTCTGGAAGCACGCGTAAATCGTATCTCGTAAGTTACTTTACATGATAACATGGCTACTATCATGATTTTTACGTTTTTGAGCCTTGTGTAAAACATGAAGCTGCCGATAGTACGTGATATATCTAAAAAATGACCTTCTACGGATGATATCGTTGTGGTCCTCCATTAGTAAAAACCAGAATGAGTAATACCAAGCTACAAGAGTAGAAATGCTACAACAAGAAGAATGCGATCAAATATACACATATCAGAGCCGTATCAGATGCTTGGTACAGTTGAAAGTACGGGACTGTTCCAGAGAGACTATTGACGTGAGAGCCAACGAGTAGGTTATTGAAAATGGTTTTAACAAAACGTCATCAACAAACACCTAAAAAGTATTAGCAGGGCCCCAGCATTCAACAATTGTGCTAGTCAAGCTGCTCTGCTATTACTTGTGCGCTTGGTAAAGTAATAAGAGAAATAAACGGATTGAGGATAGCAAAAATAAAAACGGGTGTATGAGAAATAGTACGATGAAGCACGATAATACATACACTATATGAACAATCATGTTTGCTGAAGTTACTCCCATCCCTACTTACAGTAAATAAAACACTTTACTTGCTTACTTCTATATTGCTGCTAGTTGGTTGTTATACAATCGTGTGCCGGTGAATAATATTAAATGGTCGATTTCCAAGTTATAATGTATCGAACGTGTTTAGTAAAATCTTAGATCATTGCGAAATGGAATTTTTCAAATAATCAAACTTTTCTTTGCACATCACAGAAGCGTATTTCAACGAAAATGCATTTTTCTTATCGTTATTGCTGAGTAAGAACATAATTGCATGATCAACTGTTCCTACATCATAGTCATAATACTTTGAGATGTAGTTTTTGAGAAAATAAAACTTACCAAGGATACTGACGATTTTTGTATTGAAAGCCTTCTTTAAAGGAATGTGTGGATCAATCATATTGCGCTCCAATTTGAAGTGGAAGAGCTCATCATACCTTGAACTCTTCATCAAAAATTCCAGATATTCATCTTCAAAGTGCTTAATGTAGTTTTTGTACTTCAGATAAGAATTGTCTTCTCTTACAATTGACAGTATATCATTTTTACTCAGATTTAGCCGCATGCTGGAGAACAAATAGCGCAAGAACATGTGATTCGTTTCTTCTGATACGACCTTGGAAAGAAAATTGTTGTCTTTGTACCTGATCAAAAAATGCACCTTTTTATAGATGTTCTGTTCTTGTCTTATAAGATATTGAGCAAATAATACTCTGTTATGCTGCTGGGCAATTAGTGCCATTTCATAGAACGAGGTGAACTTGTACGTTTCAAAAATATTTTTCATAGGAACGATTATGGCGCTATCCAGTTCACCGCCACAAATTAGCAGTTTGAGGTAGGACTCGACAAAGCTGTGTGGTCTGAACCGATAGCAAGAGCATATTTCCAGAAGTTCGTTGTAGTTCTTTGTGAACTGAAGTGTATCAATTATGTTGTGCACAGTTTCATTTCTGTATACCAGACATGCGCTCTTACAAATTCTAAGTAGGGCGCTATTATAATCATACAGTTGATCTAACAGGTATATTTTGTTGCGAGTGACTACCAATGCACCGGATCTGATCCCGTATATAGAAGCATTCCGTATCGGTATTTTCTTCAAAACCTTGAAATCATACACACTGATACATTCCTTGGTTGTAAATACAATCAGGTTCTTGAGCACAACTATTTGTCGTATATTATCAACAAATGATTTTACCTTCTTGCCCTGCTTGTAAATCGCTAATTTACTGCTTTTATAGGTAATGGTAACTGATCTACGCCTTATCACTACGGTGCTATCGCTGAATACAAATTGCTTGTTCGGAACTTTAAGCTCACTCGTTGACTTATTCGGCATGATAGAATTGGTGTGCTCGTTTTTTACTTTGAATACCGGCATGTGCATCTTCCTAAGTACTAGCGATCTTCTATCCATTTTTGTTGGCCTTGCTTCAAGACTATGAATCTGCCCAAATATGTTCAGGACAGTTTTGTAGCTTGCGGTTCTTTGTTCCAATAACTCCATCGCGTTAACAACAAACACTAAGAAGCTATCATCTGTGGCTACAACCAATCGATTATTTTTCACATTTGTGCCTTTTACCAGTATCTTTTTCTTGTAGATTATCCTTCCTTCTGTAAGACTGTACATCTTAATCGACTTTGAGCTAATGATAATGATATTCGATCCTATCCAATATATTTGCTTGATTTTCTTGCCATCAATTTCGATAATCCGAAGAATCTCACCGTTTATTTTGTAGATATATAGCGAGTTCTCTTTTAATAGGGCCATCAAACAGCCTATAGGTGAAAGCGCTAGCTTATCATTCGGTAATATGGGGATTCGATGATTGTCGGTCATTTTTTTGAGTTTGAACAGCATCCTATGTGCGAATATGAGATGCAGATTTATACACAAAATGTTTGAAACAGATAGGCTTCAGAATGATCATTTTATTCGGATGACAAAGCCGTAAATTACAGTTTTGTGTGCAGAAAATGTCCTCTTCCCATCATTAGAAGGACTAAAATGGTTTAGCATATCCAGTTCGTGTGTATCAATACGTATTTACTGATATGTAAACTAACTGGCAAAGAAAGATAAATATGCAGTAAGAAAGCGTATTAAGTGATATGAACGGACATATATGTCTCCTAAAGGATCTCTGCACATATTTTGTTCTAATACTAATCATATAAATCCTACACTCTGCTATTCTTAAATAAAGGATAAATCAGCTAAACTCAGCCTTCAAAAACATATCACAAATAAAGAGGATGAAGAATACAAGAAATGACGGTGTACGTTTTATTGAATCTCCTACAAAAATAACGAACTATGCAAAATTGTATTTACGCACCTACCTTTCAATATGGTAAAACACCCATCATTGACCAGCACCAAACAACAATTCTACCGACAGGCGGGTTAGAGGTTCACAATAACCGTACCAATGTTACTGTCATTATTTATTGAACGGTACTCCAAGTGCTGAATAGATCAACTACCACCAAGAGCACATTTAACTAGAGGACCATCGTTCTTCCGAAGAACACCGCGTCTTGATGAAATGTTTTCCGAATTGTTCCTTTTATACAAATCAGTTAATATTTTTTAACACCGCTCATATGTTTTGAAGCGAGAAAAGTACTTGTCCGCTCTTTTTATCACAAAAATTTACCTCGTAAAATTTCTTAGGCAACTAGGTGATGTATCGATCTGATTGTTTTCTTAAATGCATTCATTTATTTCATATTCATAGCTTATATATAAATCGTTTGGTAACACAAATCTGATTTCTCCTTGTCTTACGTTCGATACACGTAATTCATTTATTATTTTGGTCACTAAGCGTGAATAAGCAAATTTTTATCATAAAATGCGCTATATTTCGATAGCACACATTGACAGCACTAAAGTTAGACCATATGGATGTTTGCACTGAGCACGAACCAAATTTATTCTCTTCAATATGTCTGGGTTCCGCGGCATCTGGGTCATTAACATTAATTCATAGATTAAATAGAGAAATAATCGACAATAAAACGCCTTTTAACCCATTTTTTCGATGTATAGACGTGACACGTGCTTCCGAGCACGGTCAGAGTATTTTTGTGTGCCGAAAAAATCGCAACCCATGGACAGCCGCCGATTGGCATTTTCCGTGCCGCGACAGCAAAGCTCATCGACGTTTAAAAACATAAAGGACTTAAGGACCAATGAGTATGCTGCGATAGTTGCCCTGGTAAAGAGGCATCTTGAACCGATTAAAAGCAAGGGCACGGACTACGTCACAACAGTAGATGTCATTGACGAACTTGGAAGCGCGCTGGACGTAAAAATATTTACTAAGACACCAAGATTTGCGAATTTTTTTCATGAATTTGATATTATTCGCATACCTAGTGTTAAACTGATTGGAGGCGGCAAGGCTGTGACCGGCCACGGATCCAACGTGGAGGTGCTTGCACATTTGAGCGAAGAGGGTTCGCGGGTGTATGTCACAGAATCAGAAAGAGAAAAGATAGCTAGGCTTAGAGAGTATATGGCCAGCCATCAAGTATCGTGCGCATGGCCCCTGTTGAAGATCAAGGATATCAGGGAGTACAGCTCATTCAGTTTGATAGCCATGCTTATATCAATTAAAGAGGAAACGCCGAGCCTTACAGTTCTTCTAGTGGTAGACTTCACTGCGAATTCTTTGATAAAAAACATCGTGAAGAACGCATGGCTTTGCAATGACATGACGCTTTATATAAAGGTTTGGGGAAATAGAAAAGAAAAAAAAATGAATGAACTGCAGATAGGAAAGATATATCACATAAAAAAATTGAGAACAGACAAACTGGGAATGACACTTGAGGGAAGAATATCAGAGACATTTTTCGAGCCGCTGACCCCTCTTGATGAGCACAGCTCTGAGTATCAAAGCATTATGCAGACAAGGAGCGAATTTTACGGACGCAACAGTGCCGCACAGGATCAACAAATTGAGACTAAAATGCCCGAAAAGTATGAACTTTTCAATTTGTGCAGAATCACGGACATCAAAGCAGCGGGTGTTTACAGAATACGCGTAAAAGTGCTTCTGCATTACCCATTTGTACCCGTAGAGGCGACAATATGTCACAAATGTAAGTTTATACAATCAGAAACCTACAATTTCAAGTGCGTCAGCTCATGCAAGAATTTATCAAGTTGTGTGCCCATCAAGGAGAAAATACTAAAAATACAGGTGAAAGATGCCACCGGCTTCATTTGCATTATTCTAAAGAATAAACTTGTAGAAAGGTTCATGCAGATAGAGCGAAACTTGCGAAGAGAAAACTTGGACTGCATAGTTTTGCACAAAGACCGTGTCTTTTTCATGTTAGATGCTAATTTTGATGTACAGAACGAAGTATGTCAGAAAATGTGTTTAGAGTACCCGATGTGACATTGTAGTACCATATGGATGCATTTGCACGATCATCCAAAATAACATGTTTGATTTGTGGTTGTAATATAAGTTTATTGGTAGATTGCACCTACGTTTTTAGGCTGTGTGTTGCCATTATATTCGGTGTGGCGTGGCCGAGAGGAATGTCTGTCTCTGCACTTTTAGTAAAAACTTTTTGCATTTGCTAAGGTGCCGGCGCTATAAATATTCGGTACAGTTTTCATAATTTGCGTCCTCAATTATTCCTTGCATCTCCAGTTTATATCTGTGAACCAATGAACAAGAAAACCGTGTATGAAAATGGAGTAGAAATGCATAAACGTGCTTTTAATAAAAAACATCCGTTCAATGGCGTATCTGATGGTCGGATATGAGCAACAAAGCACTTCATGAATTAAAAATTGTTTTACTGCCCTACCCCATCGCTGGTGCCCAATTGTTATGATGATCCGTTTGATTGCTTCGCTGCCAAAATTTACCACCCTTGATGACGAGCTACTTTTATAGATTCGACACACAAGTAAAAGGCAGATGGGCTGGTCGAACACTCATAGATGTTATGTCTAACGAATTTATTATGAAACCAGTTGAATATTACGACAAGGCAATACAGATTGGCAATATAACGGTGAACAGCGAGGAATGTAGTAAATACCACATTCTATCACTTGGTGAAACAATACAACATCTTGTGCATTATCACGAACCTGACCTCTGTGATATAGGGGTATTGTGCCTGGAGGACGACTATTTAGTAGTTAATAAGCCGTCAGGAATTGCATGTCATCCTACGTCAGGTTACAACCTGTTTTCGGTGACAAAAGCTTTTGAAAGCTATGGCAATTTGTCATGTATTAATCGCTTGGATGTTTTAACATCTGGTGTATTGATATTAGCGTTTCGAAATGCTAAAAAATATCACACAGAGATGATAAATCGCAGAATCGAAAAGATATATGTCGCAAAGGTTAAAGGACACTTTCATGATGACATTACCGTGAATGCTCCTTTGAAGAAAAATAGATTCAATGTTACAGAGGTATCTGAGGAGGGAAAGGAGGCGACAACGGTTTTTAAGCGTTTATTCTACCATAATGGACATTCATTGGTAGAATGCAGACCGCTAACGGGTAGATCACATCAAATCAGAGTGCATTTGAAGTCTCTCAATTTTCCAATTGTTAATGATCCGGTTTATAACGGAGAAGTGAGCGATATTCCAGACAAAAGCGTAGTAGGAAAGGAGAACCACTTGCTTTCAAGCGGTGAGTACATTGATTATGGTGTTAAATACTCTGGTAAAGACACAAACACCGACAATCAAGGAGAATTGAACAGCACGAAGAAACAAGCTAAAGCGTACAATCTGCTAGGCTGTACGCTAAAAATAGGTTGTAATACACCGGGAAATTATAGTGCAAAAGAGAAATTTGCAATTGATAGTTGCCGAGGCGATAATACCCGGGCATTCAGGAACATGGATAAGTTTATATGTTTGCATGCACACAAGTACGTGTTTAATGGCAAGGAGTATGTAGCTGAGCCACCGTTTTGGGCCCAGAAAGACAATTTCTGAGAAGAATGTTAGAGTGATCCGATGGTCTGAACCTATCAATTGAATAATAAACTATTGTTGATACATTAAATGATTTAGTATAAGAATCAATGAGATAAGAGATGAAAATCACTATTTTGTGGGTTAAAAGCCAAGATGCAATATGGTGCTGTGAAATTGCACACAAGTTTATCGCGGCTCTTCCTGATACTCATGAGGTCTTTTCCTAATTCTGGTATATTCCATTCGCATACGTTCTTCAACAAATTCAACATCTATTTTTGAAATATTCACAAGGCATCGCAAGATTAAACTCATAGCAGGGGTTAGCTTTCTGCAACCGGTACTTTTGAAACATTTTATATTCTATTGATCATCTTCAGTATAGCAACATGTGCCATCAATTATTTTTTCTAGAAGGTATTTTATTGCAGCAAAAATTAATTTACGTATTGAAATTGCTAACGATGATTTTATACGCAGACAACGCCATGAATTTAACTATCAATCGAATGTTTGGTGTAATTCACAATTATACATCGCAAAAACATTGTATGATGATCCAAATCTTTGCGTCCATGGTAAAGAAACAGTTCAAATCAACAACAGTGTTAGAGAGTACGATGAGTATCTTTTCGTCTATTAATATCCAATAAAATAAGAATTGATTTGATGTCTTCTCTCCATCTCTACACGCACTGTTTGGCACATTCTATTCATTTTTAATCCTTGTAGAAGAGTTTTGAGGGAAAAATCTTGATTAGGTAGCATGACGTGTGGGATAGGGCATTCGTGTAAAACTAAATTTGGTAATTAAGTATACCGTTACCGTGTCAGTTGGTACGGTATTTAACTTTTAAGTAGGTAAGAGCGAAAAACATTCTCTTTACAGCACGCTCGTTTATTTAATTTGCTAAAACAGTTTTACACATAATTTCAAATTCAAAGTTATTCACTGTCTCAGCTCCTGTGTCATTCTATAACACTCACAAAGCATCTGTACTTCTTAAACACAATAAGTAACACATCGATCAAATCTTTTAGGTTTTCGATTCTTATACGTATGTTGCTCTTCAACATCAGTTTGGGCATCATAACAGATACAAATCCTGGAAAATCCATGTGTTTCGTGCGATCAAGGTCTCTTTTGTCCGCCAATCCATGAACTATCTCAATGAACCTGATCACAGCTTCAAGCGCGTTTCGATTCTTCTTAGGCAGACAGAGAAGAAGGAACTTTATCGCGATGTGCTGTTCCTTTACATCGGATAACCTTTTTATTCTGCAGAAATAATCGACGAATTCCTTTGGCAGAATAGGCATTTCGTAGTAGTTGAACACGTTTTTGAATACCGAAGAAACCGTGATACCATCATATTGTATCATCTTTTCATGTATGTTCTCCTGTGCTTGCATGCACTCCTCAAAATCTTTAATAGCAGCTTCCATCACCACAACAGACGGGCTTCTTTTGAATATCCCCGTTTGTGTAAGGTCCAATGTTAGGAAAAATTCCATAATCTGATTCAAGTCACTGGGAATGTTCAACTCTCTGTACGAGTACTTTAATCGAGTAGGTTCTAATTTAACATTTTCTCTTGTAAATTCTTTGAATTTGTACATGTTAGGGATGTAAACAGAATCAGGAATTGTTCTGACTTCTATCAAACTAAAAACTGTTCTTAGTACATCCATATTCGTATTTACGAAGTATTCTAAATATTCTCTGTATTCTTCGTCAGAAATATCGTCTATCGTAAGATTTTTTTCTGATAATTTTGTCTCTATGTATGTTTCGTTCATTTTTACCATTTTTGTACTTTTTGTTTTTAACGTGGTCAAAAATTAATTAAATTGATAAATGTAACACAAAAACCTGTTTATTAAATAACAATGCGAAGTGTAGATAAACAACGCTTCGAACAAGTTAAAATATGCGAATGTTTTATATTTATGAATTGGAGTGAGCTTTGTAGCGAATGGCAAACAAACAATTACATCAAAGACACCTGTGAATTTGATTATACTTTTGATTATACGTACGAAATAATATGAGGTGCACAATATTCGATTATGTTTGTGTTTTATTATCATTCTGGGTGTAAATTAAAATGTGAAGGGTTTTGAGGCGATAGAATATGGCAGATTAACCGCAATTATCTTAATTTTGATGTTCAGACTCTTTTCGGACTTCACAAAAACAAGCTGTAAAAAGATACTTGTTCATGAGCGCGTGAGTTAGGTAGCGGTATCGCGTATGACTTTATAATGAAATATAAAAATTGTAAGTACATTTATTATGGGACAATAGGCGAAGATATAACGCGTGCCCTTCCATCAAAATATACGCAAATCGAGCTAACATTGCCAATAAGAAGCAAACGGCACGAACCATAGCATGGGTGACTTACCACACCAGACAATTCCAATAAAACTCACTTTATTTTGATGACAGCCAATCTGGGTACTTTTTGAAAAACTCTTGCCTTATCTTTTCGGTTTTTTCACGGCGAAGACGACTTATTTCTTGCTTCTTTTCATACCGTTGCGCATAGAACTTGTTCTTGATCCTCGTCATCCTAATTTTAGGCAACTTCCTTTTTTTTCCCTCCTCAGGCGGTGGTAGCGCCTTGATAATGGCATCCTTTACTTCTTCTGGACTCACATCAACATCCTTAAGACCGAGAGCTGCTTTAAGTTTGTTGAAGCGCTTTGGCAGATGTGTCTTATCGGCCACATGATCGGTAAGACCTTCAATATGGCAGGGCTCAGCAGTAGTATTACCTTCACTACTTTCTGCGAAAAGATCGTTCACAACTTTCATGCACAGCGCTGACGTTTCTTCAGAAATGACGGCACCACGTACACTCTTTCTGCGCAACTCTCCCTTTTTTCTGGGTTTGAAACCAATATCTCCTTTTCTGCGCAGTAATCTCTGCCTCTTGTCCGTGTTAATTTGCGCATCCATGGGAAACCCTTGCTTGTCTGAACCACCGGTCAGAAGCACTTTCCAGCCGGCATATTCCGGCTTGATAATACTGCCATCGATAATGTCGCCAATTGATTTTCCATGGAATATCCGTTCCGCATTACCTGTTACCTCTAGTGTGATGTTTGTACCGTTCTGAGGTGATGAAATATTCAGCTTCATTGGTAAGGGTCAAATTTTTTTCGATTTGAAAACGCAAAATTTTTACAGATGTACCGAATAGCGGTGTACTAAGCGATCGATTCTAACTAGGATGACACTTTTCTTTCCATCTTGCTGTTTATAGTGTGAATTAGACAAGTTTGAGGTGTGCATCACTTTTTATCTTCATCCAATAATTATAGGTTGGAAGCTTGGTATTCATTTCATCCTGGCAATTTCAACCGTTACATTCAAATCTCTAATTCTCTGATGTAAAATGACTTTTTCCCGTAAAATAGTAAAAAACTGCGTTCAATTTTGTTTTACTATGAATAGTCCAAGAGCAGAATAAAAAATGGTAAAATAAATATTGAATTTTACTATAAGACCATTGACAAATGATAGACTAACTGTTGAAATATTTGGGATTTTGTTAGTTTTAAGAATATTTTTACCTCACACCGCGAAACTTGCCCACACAATTGTGGAAGCACTCTTTAGAACAGGCGAAGTCATAGTATTAACGATCACAACCATTTATATTATTTCATTTATAAAAATCCCTTATAGACACACGATCATAGCTTAATTTCCCCCTCTTCCAATTCATCATCATCCTTGTTGTTGAAGTAAGTTTCCATCGCCCGCCTATCGATGTTATTTAGTCTTTTTTTTGTTTCTGGAGTAAAATCATTTTCATACATTCCAAGCCTTTCCAAATTCATTCTGATAAAATCATCAAATTCTTCCTTCACAGCACTACCTCCAAGCATCAATATTCTAACCACAAGATCATTTTTAACTAGTTTTAAAAAAGGTTCATATTCCATTTTATAATACACCGATCCATTAACATACATTTTGTTGATCAAATTCTTTAATTTAATACGATATGTTTTCATGAGATTGGTATTTTCAGCGCCATCTGCTAGATTATTAAGCTTGAAATGGCTGACGTATAGTTTTCTGTAGATTAACAAAACTGCTATATCATCAAATTGTTCCACAAATTGGTCGTTCTTTATATCAACAAATCCTTTGGTTGCGTCCATTTTCGATAACACAAAGTTTTCTAGTCTGTTATAGTCTTCATAACTGATATTTAGCTGTTTTGTAAGTATTTCTTTTGTGTTAAGGCGATTATATTGTTCAGATGACTCAAAATAAATCAATATATCTTTTTCGGCTCTGGTCTCACCTTGTATATCCTCTTTTGACTTGTTATTCGAAGCATGGTCAGGATGTTTTTTCTCGAACTTCTTGGCTTGATTGGTATTGCATTCTCCAAGTTCACATTGATCAATCGAAACACTAGCACTCGAATATTTCTCATGTTTATTTACTTTGCTCTCATCATTTTTTTCTGTTTTGTTTTCATCATAGGTACTTTTGTTTTCGACATCGCTCTTTCTTAGACAAGAAGAATGTCCATTATTGCCTTTTCGTCTTTTTGTCCTATTCTCTTCATTTAAAACAGCAAACTCGTCTGTTCTTCCGGGCTTAAGCTTATAATAATACATGAAGCGGTTCACCAGGAAATTGGTGTAGAATTCTCTTCGTCTTTCAGCATCTTTATAAAAATTGTTATGGAACAAAAAGTTCATTGTTACTTTGTAGTCATAGGATGCGTCATAATCACTGTATAAATACTTTTTGAGGAGGTAGATCATGGCAGATTCGCTATTTTTATTCTCTTCGCGAATAATCATTTCTTTTTTATACCTTATAAACTCATTCAGAAATGTCTCCTTCAAATCACCGTAGGCATTGTACAAAATATTATCATTGAGTTTGTCGGCATAGTCCTCTACTGTAGCACCTTCTTGCACGCCGCACTGTTCCATAAGATCAAAAAATAATTTTTTGTCTTTCTTGTCCAACCGCAAATAATTTCCTAGCGTACTAATTGTTTGCATGTCGCCTGAAGAGAAGTATTTCCTGTCATCTTTTGGCATAATCCAGTATGACTTGTTCGTGTGTGCGTTATAATAGAACGGTTTTCCCGTGTCAGTATAGTATACTTTATACGGATTCAGATTGTTTGGTTCGCAACGCATGCTCCTAAATTTCTTTGGTTCCATAATTCAAAAGACTGAGGGTTTTCTAACAGCTCTCCTTCTCAATGGCCTTCGAAAATAGAATAAATCAATGAATAATGCCATGATTTGATCATCTTAGCCGTTGATTGCGGTTAACATGATTTTTTAGTTTGAAATGCAAAATGTTTACTGCGCAATTGAGATGGTGTATCAAAATGTATGATGTCTGGGCATGGACAACTTATCACAATACTTTGTGGACGCAAACGCAGTATTATGTATACTTATTGATAATTTACCTATAAATTGACATATGCAAGAAATCATTGAGTGATGTATAATCGTACAATTAGCTTGGCTCACTTTGGGCGTGTACTGTTGTGAAGTATAGAACGCTAAAGAGCTGAACCAGGATTAAACGATGAGCATCCGAAAGTACGCCGCGTTGGTCAAAATATAATGAGTATGAACGAACTATGTTAATCGAAATAACATGATATTCCAATACAATGCGTGATACTATAACTTTTGATGACAAGATGTAAATATAAGCTTATAAAATCATTCAATGTGTTAATATCTTGGATATAATATCTTTCATGCACTGCACCGGTCGATCACTCATAAACACATCAAAGGATGAACCCCCTGATATGTCATCGAATAACGTGTCTGGTGCGAATGGCCTGTCATCAGATCAGGTTAACAATATTCTGCTAGGTATTGAGCACATCGACGAACTCATATGTGCTAATTTGCGGATAGTGTACGATCCTGAAGACGAGATAGACGAGTATAATTTGGTACCACAAATCTTGGAAGTTGCCAATACACAAGAGCAATATGTTGCTGGTGGAGTGAAGCAACGTAAAATAATTATAAAGGACGCAAACATAAACGAGGTTATAAAAATTTTTGAGAAAGATTTTGACACTTTTAATTATCGGAAAAATAGTTCAGGAGACGTTGAAATATTGTTCGATTCTCAAGAAGATGCTAACAAATGTATGAGAATTGGGGTAGGAAATCTCGAACTTTCAAGACCTATCAATTATTTCATAACCACAGACTCCGAATTTACGGTCAAAGACTTGAATGAAAAATTGCTCTTGGGCCCGCTAAAAATAGAAGATAAGAAACTGAAAGCGGCGTTGAATGAGATAAGTGAGCTGAGCACGTTTCGAAAATGCTATGACTTTGTTGGTAACACACCAACCGATTACTTTGTCTTCTCTTTTGGAAATAAAAATGTTGCGGAACATTTATGTAAATTTTTGTCTTTCGTGAATGTCACCGGGAGGACGTTGATTGCGTGTTTGTTCTACGATCAAGTCAATGTTATAAATCTGAATGATATATTCAACGACAGGTTTGTTATAGGTGGCCATGTGCTTACGGCGAAAATCGAGACCAGGATAGTTCAGGTCTTGAACATGTTTTTGCCAGGTGAAATATCGCACTTTGACAGGATTGATGAAATGAAAAAAATGATAATTCAAGAAGCAGAAACCGAAGATATTGTAAATATCTGTGTGCCACTGTCTCTGTATTCTAAAAACAGATTATATTGTCCCTATGAAGGTCGCGTTTACGTTGAATGCAAGGATAAGGTCTCCGCTCGCAGTGTATTTTGTAGACTTGGTGGCCTAATTTTCAATGGGAGGGTTGTTATTACTTCATTTTTTCCTGAGCTGCATTACCAAGCTCGTGAATTTATGTGACATTAAGGACTAAAACTGCGAATTCGAGATCCAGGAACGCTACCTCGATCAATAAATAATAGACTAATTATATACAGATCACTTGCAAATGGCTGTAAAGTTATTTGTTGTTGCATAAAGTATACGACAACATCTGTACATGTTATATTACATTCATAGAAATATGGTGATCTAATGTTTTATCGACACATAAACAAGTAAAGCGCCAAAATATCAGCAATGGTGTATAATATACACCAATCTATATGATATATTTTAAATATCACTTAGTAACTTTTTATGTGATAATTTGATCCAACTTTGTTATTGAGAACTACAACTCATACTTATTTGGCAAATAGTGTAGAATGTGCTCATTACATATTCGCTGGACAGTACCAACGCTTTCATATCTTGTCTCTATTTGCACAGCCGAAGAAGGCATATGTGGTATCGGTTGAGCACCTTCAATTCGCTTTAAATAAATCTAATTAATAATTTTTCGTATTAACTGGTTACCGGTCAAACCAGCTGCATCATTTAAAAGTATATATATGTTCTAAAATCCTTTATAACCTGTGCCATGGTTTTAGTTGTATTACAGCGAATCAAAAAGTCCATAGTAAAACGCAATATTTTGTGTTAAAAACTGTAATAATACCAACAACACTCATTTTTAATCAAACTAAATATATTTATGAAATTTTATGGACAGCCCTAAAAAATGCTGGGCAAGGTCATAGTAAACATTACAACCGTTTTACTCGTGCTGAACAACTGTTATGGATACTTCAAAGATAGAAAAAACAAGCATTTTCGTTATTATTTCCTGATATTGTGTCTGTTTCTCGTCTTTGACTCGCTTTTCAGCTATGTCACGAACTTTATTCCTTTCTTCCAAATAGTCAAATTCGCTTTTATTGTCTGGTTATCGTTGCCTATGTTTAACGGGCCGATGTTTATTTACAATTTCTATATGAAAAAGATATTTGTACGATTTGAGGCTGACATCGACCTCCAGCTGGAAACAGCAAGGAAAAGATTTGTGGAGACCTTCGTGGAAAGGTTGAATCAGGCATATGGCAAGTGTTATCAGTACAATGAGAAGCTTTTGGGATATAATGACAGATCTAACGAACGAACTTCAGCAGCTGAACCCGGTCCGAAAGAAGTAGGTGATGAGTTAATGAGCAATGCACGAAGCGAAGCGTTGGAGAACATCAAAGATGCGATTGATAAGACATCATTTGTTCAAAAAGAAAACTTGGACAAGCTCAATTCGAATGCCAGTAGTACGGATGTTGGGAAGGAAGGAGGTTTGGGAAAGTTCATCGACAGAAACGAAGGAAATTACGATGTTGATGAAGAGGTTGGTGCTGGTAAGAAATATGAGGATAGTTAACGTGAGTACCAAATGCTTAGTTGTGCTCGCGATATTAAAAAGTACGTTTACCTAATTGTTTCGTACCTGTGTTTTATTACCAAGAATGTGCCATTCATCACACGTTCTGTCCAACCATTCAGCTATTTAGCTATTTTGTGCGTATAATTGCAACATTCACTTTTTAAATCATGCCGACATTCTTGGATTAAATCAAAGGACATGTGCAGCGCCATCTCATTTCAGATATATTTTGTGTTGTGAACTGGCCAAAACAGGTCATTTCGTTCGTTTGTACAAAAGAAAGAAATTGTAGAGTTTGAGTAGTTCATAAAAGAAATAGAGATAAGAAGAACTGAAAACCATAGATAGGAGACATGTGAAATTTGGCTGGTAAAAAACATATAAATAATCCTAAGCAAAGTTAAATTCGACCAATGGCGCATACATTCCAAATAAGATATAACATAGTGTTGTTCTCTCGATAAATTCTTTTTTTGTGTACTGAACGGCAAGCTTTGGCTCTAAATTTGGTTAGGTTAAGCCAACAAACTAAAAATAGTATTTCTATACACAATTGTAAGTGTCGAACGAAGCGAAATCCGGTAATACAGAGCAGACTTAGTTTAATAGCGATATCAACGCACAACAAGATGTTATAAATGATCAACAATCACAAGTCTCGTAAAAATACTATTTTAATTGAACTTGTATGATTCTTTATTTTCAGTCACACCTCTTCTTGTACTCCATTGTTTGTAGATCAAATATGCTCATCATTTTCTCTACGTACTCCTTCTTCTCATCATTTGTTAATCGCTTAAGCAGGCCCGCCACTGGTCCAAATACGCTGCTCTGAAGTATTAAGAACCATTTTGGCGCTTTTTGTGATTGGTATTTTCGCGAACCTGATAGATTTATTCTGTATCCATTATAATCCGCGGTAGTGATACTATTGTAGTTTTCTGAGGTGATGGAACGACGGTGATTCTCGTATAACGAATTTTTGCTGCGCATATCGCTTAATTTTGAAGTGCTGCTTGAATTGGTAAAACTGTTGCTCATTGTATTAGGTAAGAGGTTGAAGAGTAAATCGCGTGAACGGTCCTTGTTGTGATCTTCTTTTCGTATATAACTTATGTCTTCATTCGTATTGGTAATTTGCATTTGAACATGACCGTGGTTTACCTTGGCATCATAGTCATACTTTCGCACGCTATACAAATTACTTTGGCCGCTTGCACCATGTCTCGTACTTATTCGTTCTGAGTCTTGTCTGTTTTCGTTATAAACGCCACACGTATCACCATTACCAACGTGACAAGCACAGAATTGAACGTATTTTCTCCTTCTTCTTTTTCTATTACGACCAGAATTATGTGTATAATTCGTATTGTATCTCCCTGCCCTTTTGCCACCACGATGATTAGCTCTATTCAAAATATAGTTAGAGGAACCTTCAAAACTAGTCTCTGTAACATAATCATAACTGATAATTTCACTACAACAATAATGCGAGTAATCATACATTCTTTTCCCATCTCCTCTTCCCAATTTGCTTGCATTCTTGAAGCCCAGCTTTACACCCGATCTTTTCCACTCATATTCTTCCGTATCATCGCTGTGTAATATGCTAGTTATTCTTTTAGATAGCTCCTTGATTTGCATTTCCTCATCACTCGCTTCTTTATAGGTTGTTTTTTTCTCTGCTTCATCAGGCACACCAATTTTGAACACTGTCTTTCCGTCCATTGTTGATAGAATCTTCGCTGTATTTATATTTATTAGGACCGTTTATTTGATCAAGCGTTTGTTTGTTTCAGTGATAAGTTTCAGTTTGGCTTATGATTATTGGTTGCATATCGAATTGCAAGTAAGTAAAAGAACAAATATCAAATCAGCTTTGATGTAACCCGTTAAGATACAAGAGATACTAAGTAAATGGAGCCTGGAAATAGCAGATACGGAGAAAGTAAACAATGTTACTGATGATGGCTTTTGCTCATAAGGTTATGTCCTGGTAACAAAGTTCGCCAATAAAATTCTATAAAGTAGACCAATACCTTCTGTTACGCTTCTCCGCCACAAATAATTCAAAACTAGTTTAGCATAGTTTTAAATATTTATTTTTATTACTTTTCTATCTTTGTAGACATTTTCTCGACCACATTAACCTATAATGCGGCATAATAAGTATGTTCTACAGTGATATAAAACACTAATCTGATAAAATCCGTTTTAATGTAATTATGATGGTGATTAAATATTTTTAAGAACATTTTTTTACTAACGGTGTATTTTATTAAAGCTGTTCCTTTCTCAAGTATGTACTTAACATTAAAAGACTGTCTTCTCGGTCTGTTGAGAACGATCATAGCCATCGACTTGTGGTTAATGCAGCAATTTAGTGCGTCAACATGTACGATAACAAGGCTAACACCTGCGATAAATAGGTATACCTAACTGTAACACGCCAACTTCGTCTTGCACGCGACTTACCTTTCGGAACTACACCAAAAATCTTCTTATCTATGGCTTAACGAAGCACTCACTTCTTAAGAGAAAGTATACTTACTAAATTTTGAGGTATGAGGAGGTAATAAAATGTACTTGTAATGAAAGGATGGCTTTAAGTTAAAATATCGCAAACTAATTTTCAAATTAGTTACATTGGAGAAATGACTGAACCAATTATAAATACGATTAACTTTGATGTAGGCCAAGTATTAACATTTTTAAGCCGTGTCAAAAATGAACTGACTGATTAATTATATATTATACCAAATAAAAGTACACTTTGGTGACATCAATGTCAGGTATGGCATTGTATTATGAAGTACACACCTTACACACTATCAAAAATATCTAAACATACTACAATGCCAACATGTGCCATAATTATCAATTATTTATACTGAGAGTAGCTAAAAAAACGAATGACATAAAGAAGCCTTTAGTAAATCAATTACGATCCTAGAGCACAGCTAATCACCAAAAATTTTTTCTTTAAACGCTAAATGATATTAGGATAGTCACAAGTCACGATTGCACATACAAACTTATTCATTTCGAGATAAATAGTATTAAATAACGACACCGCTTGCGGCAAAGATTATCACTTTCTTGCACAAACCGATGAAGGATGCTGATTAAATTAAATGTATGGCAATCTGTTTGATACGGTTACAAGAATACACTGGATATTTTTTTTCATTATTTCTATGGAGTTCGTTCAATACATTAAATATATCAAGTTCAGAATTATCTCCTAAATCGAAAGAATTCTCAGCGTGGTGTAAAACATCGTTTGACATGTAGGGAACTAGAACGGATTGGAAATTTGCAACATTCTCAGGCAACTCTCCCATTACGCCTCGCGAATAAGAAAATAACAGACAGCATGGCTTTGTTAAGTGAATTTGCACACTCATTACGATGCCATTATCGAGAGTATAATCTATTCGGATGTCCAAATCCTGCGTTGCTTCTAAGTATATTTTCAAACTGCTATCAGTGAACTCAAGAACATGTATTGCGTCTAAATTTTCAAAGTATGGACATCTTATAACACCAGAACACTTTTGAATGTAGATATCAGTGCAAGCACTATTTATAACGATCGGATGATCACTATTTCCATTCGTTTCGGTCAAATGCACAACTCGTATGTTGTTCAGCAACACGATTTCCCTTGATAAACAGCCTCCTATTAGTTTCAATAAAAATAGTTCGGATGGAGTATTTCTGTCAAAAAAATAGCGTTCTCCATCTCGAACATCCAAAACCATTGATTTTTCGCCGTTATCACAATGAATTTTACATGTTGATTTTTCAACATACAGCCGCTGACACGTCGAATTTAGCCGTATGAAAGATTCGTCTTTAGCATTAATGCCTCTGAGCATAAGATATTTCACATGATTAGGGGTAACCAATGTACCTTCTAGTGTTAGATCGTACAGTTTAACAATTTTCATCATATCGTATAAGTTAACAAATTCTACCACACTAGTCTGTTTAAGTTGTAAGGAACAAATACCAAACGGGTTATGCAAATTAAATAGCCCTTCACATTCAGAAATTCTAATTTCTTCCAACTGATCATGCAGATCAAACTTGTTCGTTTTTGTTACAGTAATTGTATTGAGCTCGATGTACTGTACATGCTGTGGTAATGAATATCCATCTAATTTGATTTTGCCCTTCATGATAAGAGTTTTCTTTTGTTCGATATAGTACAATTTCGCATCCTCTAATCGAGCATCAATCAGGAAGAGGAACTCAACGGACAATAGACCCGTATATTGGCGAATGAATATGTTCGTACAGCCCTTGATAATACAAAATCCTGAGCCAGGATAGTCGAAACGTACATTGTCTAGCATTAATTCATTCAGGTCGCAGCTTATTTCCACTGGAGTTTTTACCACTAAGCCTTTGGCGAAGACATTTCTCTTTGTGTCATAAACTGCCTCTGAAATGGATAGAGATGACAAGCTATCACCAAAAAATTCACCAATAACAATGCCCTTCAACGAAATTATCCCTTTGAATCTATCAAGGTTGAATGAATCAACCCTGCTGTCTACGGTAACTAAAACTGTGTTTGTGAACATAACATCCATCATTATCACCTTTTTTACAACATAACACTCACTATTTTCTATGAAAAACTGTGTTGAGATGGCCATTATGTCACATAAGCCATCTTCAACCTCCTTATATCTAAATTGCTGTTTTGTCGGATCGTTCAGGGGTTCAAGAGTCATTTCATCACATAGAATGTACTTACCTCTAGAACAGAGAATTTTTATATAGCTGCATCTTTTTTCGAGTTTAAAAGCGCTGCCATCTGCTATCGTAGTTTTCGAGATATACAAACTATCGAGGCTGTTATCTATCACAAGATCACGCTGTATTTGTGCATTTACTAAATGCATCACGCAAATATGGTACGGTAGAACGACATTGAAATTTGGTTGCAACAATTTTGTAAGTTCAAATATTTCTATACAATTCATTCCATCAAGGTTGAAAGCTCCAACGCAGCCACTAAACAAAGCATTTCGCAACAGACCAGTAAACCGCATTGTATGCGGTTGAGTAACTAAAACATTCTCCAGCACCAAATTCATAAAATTTCCTTTGAGCTCAAGATCAGAATCGCAAATAACACGTGTCATGCTAAAGCCCAAATATCCGTTTTCATCTCTGTCATACGAAAACCTTGAGCATATAAAGCAATAAAACCTTCCAAAATTGACACATTGAACCATTCCTTCTACGTTTTGTAGTACCAGGTTGGTGCAGCTTCTAGGTATCACGATTCGTGCGTTTTGTTCAATAAAAACATCTATACCTATGATACAAATTATGGATTCATTCAGAGCTACGGTCTGCATTATTCTCATGTGCTTCATATGCAATTCTACAGTTCTTCTCGGCAATGACTGCAATACTTTAGACCCACAGCTGTGAAGATGGAAAATGCACTCTTTGTCTGATATTTCGGCCGTACCTAGTTCCATATCTACTTCTCGGATGTGAAGTATTAATTTTGCGACATGGTTCCCGCAAACAAACTTGCATTTCAGTAACTTGTTTAACATATCGTGCACCTTATCTGTGATCATCGCGGTATTTTCAACAAACGAAGGTTCAAAATCAATCTCTAATGAGAATTTCCATTCTGTGTCTCCAATATCAAATTTTTGCTCAAGGAGCTGTTCGTTTGCATTTAAAAAATGACGGCTCATTTTTAAATGATGAACTATATAAAACATATTAAACTGATCAAGAGAGTATATGATTGCTGGCTCCGAAGCATTGATTGTTGATGGTACAGTAGCATGCTGGTTGTCTGAATCCCTTATTTTGAAGGAAAATACCTTTCTAACCTCGTTTACAAATCTTAGAAACAACTTGTTCCACTGTTTGTCAATTTCTTCTACCATATTACGTCCTGATAGATCATTACCAGATGCTAATGAATGGACAAGCACTTCCTCTACCTTATCTTTAGCATTTTCAGAATCACGACATTCGATCAAACAGTCTTCCATTGTTTCGAATTCATTGATTTCTGCTAACTGCTCGTGGATTTGTCTCCAGTGATGCTCATGCATAAGCTTAAGCGATTGTTCGTTAGAATTTAACTCCTGCAAGATAAAGTTAAGCAGTAAAATACGTATATCCAAAATACTGTACAACTTAGAAACAATTATTTCATAGATTTCTTTCGTATTTAAAGAAAAACAAGGCTCAGCTTTCATCTGTATGATTTTTTGATAAAGAACTTTTGATAGTGGAATGTAGACTTTAACTACTGTTGTTTCTTTTCCAGAAGTGTTATCAGACGAAGTGCTAACATGTTTACGACTAGCAATTGTCACTATTTCTTCCTCAAATGACGGTTGGCACTGTTCGTTCGTATCGTGCGATTGAAATTCATCTCCTTCCTGAAGATAATTTTGAGGAGTTGTCGGAAGATGCTTAACATCCGTGCACTTATGTAGGTAGGCGCCTAATCCGGTTTCAGCTGCTGATTCGCACATCAACTGGTAATTTTGATCGTTCACATCTTCCTTTATAAATATGAGAACGTATCTCACCAAAAAATTAGCCACATTCATCGAAACAATCACTGGGATACTTCGCGGGCGATTATATGCATATAAGATTTTCCATATGAGGAGCTTGCGCTTTTTGGAACTCCTTTTATAAAAGGAAAGAATTATTTGCATCGCTATTCACTATAAACGCACCAACGAATAAAATACATGGTGTTCAATTCATTAATATCTAAGGACATGACGATGTGATAAAGAAACTAAAATTTACCCACATTTACGGTACGATATTTTATATCTCATGTTATTTCCGAATGCAATCATACATGTACAGTTAAGTGCTCTATTATTGAACATGAAATACACTGCTCCACAATTACCAATGAACAGTGGTAGTACCATCATCATAAATCATTTCATGTAAATACAAAGACAACTCAAAATATTATCCATTAGTCAAAGGAAATAAATTATTTGATCTTTGAGAAAAATAAAAAAATTTTCTTTCATGTTTTTACACAACATAAATTGTTTAATATTGTTATAGAATTCGTTTTTGTGATATTTGCTCTTTCATTCCTCACCAACAACGTTAGAATTACATAATTGCTTGCCAAAAATTAATCCAGTACCCCCTACTACAGTTTTTAAAATGAATGAAAATAGTTAGAAAAAGGTAATACGACATATTAAAAGAAAGAAATACTATCTAATAGGTATTCCAGCTTGTTTCCGTTTTATAAACAAATATAGAGTAACTATTAATCTAACAACTATAAAAAGATTCTTTCGAAATTGACATTTCAGGCGTTCCTACAGAACTATTTCTCAAATCACCATTTCATCTTTGATTTATTTTA